TACCGGACAGGTGGAGGATGAGTATAATTTTATTTTTGAATGCAACAAGTATAGAGATTTAAGGGAAAAGTATATCAAACGTTATTACTGGAATAGGCCATCTGTTTTTAAATTGGTTCAGTTTTTGAGAGTTGAAAGTATTAAGGAATTGTGTTCTCGAGGAAAGTTTATATATGAGGCAACTAAGTTAAGAAATAATACATAATTAAATATTAAGTAATAATAACATAAAATATTAAGTATGAAATACAGGGATTTTATATGTCATTCTCTATATAGGTATGTTACGCCATGCTGTAATTTGTTTATGTTGGTTTTTGTGACTGATAGGCCGGAAGGCCTAAGGTAATAAAAGAATAAAAGAATGCTGTTTCGATAATATTGTCGATTAATTTTGGGGGTGTCTTGTTTTATCATAAAATTGACACCAACATTTATATGATGCCACAACCGCTTAACTTAATTAATCTTTCTTACAGGATGGCCCCATATTTCTTGTGAAATGGCTGGATAACAACATCGCCGAAAGTACATGGGAACCAGAGAATCACATCCCATCAAACATAATACAGACTTTCACGCTTGAATGATTTTGGTAACCCCCTTGGATTTTGTAATGTAAAACATTACCATTTTCTAATATTGCACAAATGTCATTTTGTTTTCACTCATTTACAGGTATTCGCCAAGGAAACATGTTAACCTTTCTTTTTATATTGAGTATATAACAAGAGCGGAAGTGCAAGTCACAGGCTCAAGTCTGAACTTCCACCCTACGACCATGTCTTTTAACGAGGGCACAACACAAATACCAGATAATTTAATCAAATTTTTACAATGCAATTCTATTTATCTTGTCTGTCTTTTCTGTAATATTTTATCAAGCCTTTTGATTTGTTAAGCGGACAAAGTAGATAAAATTGTCTACTCTATTTATTGGTGTAATTCTGTAAACGAACTATATCCACTACATAGAGAGTGTTACACTCATACAAACCAATCTGAGTCATATTCAACATGTAAAACCTATATATTCATTGTTAATAGAGATGTTACAATTTCAAAACGACATTGCGCTATTCAAGAAAATGTTAAGTCATTCTTCATAACAACGGTAACGAAAATTATCCACATGTGAAATATTGGATGTTAAAAATATCGACGAAAAAGCACTTGGTTTGAGAAACACGGTCCGAAAAAAAGCATTTTCATTCCTTTGTTTATTTATGAAATGAATATCAGTAAACAAATATAACTTAACCACAACAGAAAACTACCGATTGTAATTAAAATCTACCTGATTTTCTGCATGAACATCCAATTGTTATAACCAGGTATATTTGTGTCATTTTTTAATTGTACTGTCCGTTATATGATACAATATGCAGTTGACTTTATGTGAGTAATATAACCTCAATTGCAATCATATACCTATCTTTCAAAACTGTATAATAACTTTAAATTTAGTATCAATTTCAGTTACTACCAGACATCAGAACTACAGACCTGTCCGTTGTTGGTCGGGTATCATCATTAAGGAGTCTACTCTGAGTAGGCAATTGAAGACACATAATATCAGCAGAGATCGCCACATCTTCGCTCCTCCTCACAATGAAAACTAAATAATTTGTAGATCCGCCTATTATATAGCTGCCTAAATATAGTTTACGAAATTCATATATGCTGCGTGTATACCTAATTTCATTTTATGCATATATGCATGAAGACAATTTTTTGTGTCGCATTTGAAAACGTTTTACTTCCAGTATTTAATATAGATCAGCTGCAACTTACTGTCCACAATTGACCAGTAACTTTCAATGTCTCTACATAGAAGTAACCGGAGCATAAAAATATCACAAGTTCATGTGCATTCATAGAAAAAATATTAATTGAAATGTTAATAGTAGCCTTTTCTATGCTTTTCTAATTTAGGCACAATTTTGCGATCCTAAAGGTGGGACACTGTTACAGAAGTAATTAGGCTGCCATATTGCCTCCATATTTCCTTATATGGCAATAATTAATTTCTGTTCCAAAACTGTTGTTGGTGTTAAAAGACCGATTATTGATCCGTTAAAAAGCTGTTTTAAAATACTTATTTGTAAGACAGTATATATTTATGCATATCCACAATGAAGTAAAGTTTCGGCTATAATTTTTATTGTAGATTTATTACTTAACGCTACAAATTAGATAAATAGATTAACAACTAAATAGATATAACCAGGTACACCTTGTGATAGAAAGAAATAGATATATCCCGGTAACCGTGTGACAGAAAGAAATAGATATATCCCGGTAACCGTGTGATAGAAAGAAATAGATAAAACCCGGTAACCTTGTGATAGAAAGAAATAGATATATCCCGGTACACATTGTGATAGAAAGAAATAGATATAACCCGGTAACCGTGTGATAGAAAGAAATAGATATATATCCCGGTAACCTTGTGATAGAAAGAAATATATATAACCCGGTAACCTTGTGATAGAAAGAAATAGATATAACCCGGTAACCTTGTGATAGAACGAAATAGATATATATCCCGGTAACCGTGTGATAGAAAGAAATAGATAAAACCCGGTAACCTTGTGATAGAAATAGATATATATCCCGGTACACATTGTGATAGAAAGAAATATATATATATCCCGGTAACCTTGTGATAGAAAGAAATATATATATCCCGGTACACATTGTGATAGAAAGAAAGAAATATATCCCGGTACACATTGTGATATAAAGTGTGTGTGCCTGTGAGTTTAAAGAACTAAAATTATGTGTATTGAACTTGAATTGCGGCATTGAGTTTTTATTTCACCCAATTGGCTAACAAGACGATGTCGTGACCACGTGACCAAAGCCCGAATTAGGTCACAGCGCAAGCTAAGCCTAGAGCTTTACTCAGGAGAACTGACATTAATACTTTGGATGAGTTCAATCGGGGTCTTGGGACTGTTTTTGTTCTATATTTTTAAGAATGGTCTGTACAGTCCTCCACTCTGATATACTGCTACACACCTATGTACTTTTTTGGATTTTTTACCGGCCATTTTAACTTGAACGCATTAGTTTCTTGCATAAAAGTATTTATCATTATCTAGTTGACAAGAGTTTTCAATCTTGTCGTTATATCTGTAGATTTTCACGATATATCCATCCCCTGTTAATGGTTACACTATAGTTTACCAGTTCCTCGGGATATAACACACTGTCAAGGAACGAGATGTCGCCTGACTTATACCTGAAGAACGAGTAAATATATGTGTTACATATTTGTATCATAAATGAGACAGACATCGATAACAATGTTCCAATTTTCTTATTTAATTGTATTACGTATAATGAAGCATGACCTAGCGTGGGAAACGCTTCATTTGTTTGATTGATACAGCACGGCTACTGCGATATGATTGGTTTTTGACTTGGATATTTAAAAATCATAATTATGTCAATGGCATAAACTTGCCCCGCCCACTACATCGCTAGATTGTAATATTGTTCCTACCAGACGGTGGTTATTTGGAATGAAGATCTACTACAAGATTTCCGACTTTTTGCTTTATCACAAGTGCTTGAGCGATACGACGTTGGCGAGCTTGTGTCCGACACTGACTATGTTACTTTCGGGATATTCAATGTTTCATTGCCTGAAGATGAGCCGGAACCTGAGCCGGCAAAGGCAATATGTGAGCAAGATTTGGTCAGGCGATGGATTTGGAATACATACAAGAATGTGTGATTTTATGAACAAGAATGCAAGAAAAAAATACCAACTGGACCAAACACACATGGAACTAAAGGACAGAGGAGATATCCCGGATCTGCTAACTATGAATGCAACGCAGTTGAATTATTATTTGTCCTGCGTTGTAATCGACTTCTCAGACACAAGATCGCTACATCCAGGTAACTCACCTTCTTAACCGAACCCAGTTTAAAACCAGAACAGCAGCTGTCGTCAGAGTTAGAAGACACTGTGAGTTCGCTGAGACCGTCCGGCGTTGCCCTACGTGAACATGACAGTAACTGCTGAAGTCCTTACGTAGGGCAAATTCTCACTCAGCGCCATCGACAGCAATGTCTTCAATGGGCAAGGCATCAACGATAGCGTCTTGTTGACTGGCGACGAGTTGTCTTCTCAGACGAGTCTCGATTCCATCTTTTCCATGCTGATGGACAATTGCATGTGTTGCATGGACTTAACGAACGTTAGGCAGATTGTTGTGTCTTGCAAGCTAATAAATTGGATAGCGGCAGCATGATGGCATTGGGAGCCTTCAGTTACCACCATTGGACATCTCGTCCAGGAATGGCGGACACACGCATTATTGACTGATTTGTGATTTTTCCTTTCATGGAGGTACCTTCATTAAATAGACAACAGAAATTGTAATTTCTATGGAATGAAATCTAGCCACATTTTGTTTTATTATATATTTAACAAACTATTCAATTAATCAGTAAAAATTCAGTTCCTCTTTTTGAGCTCTTACAAAACGTATATACAGACCTAGATGAAAAAAATATGACACAGTTCTAAATAGCTATCGGCCTTTGTTTATGTTCTATATTTGGGTACATTATGATGCAATACTGTACTTTTTGTATATAGTCCTAGTGATCTCTTCTCTCAGCACAGAAGACAAAATGCCTCGGCAGTACATGTACGTTGTTCTACTTCTTTATTACTTTAAACCATTGGTTCAGCGGTAGTGAATATATCATGTAGACAAACAAAACAAAATAAACATGTATTCACAATATACCCACAGTATATTATAAAGAGGCGTATAATTCACTTTAATTACATCATTCAACATCTGTTCATGTTAAACGAGGGTATTTTATAGAATGAGCAAGACATTTCTAGTGTTTATCCCCCATCCAAATTCCCATTCTTGTTCCATCTTGTGGTCAGTTATTGCTATCTAACTCTACATATCTTTTCTCCCTAACCAGCAGCACTAAATTAATCATGATAATTAAGTCGCCGGCTACGAAGGTATTGTGGCATTCTGTGAAAGAGGTGAAAGTCGCTGAATGCTAGGACTGTAGAATAGGGTGGATTCGGGAAGGGTTAAGAGCCACGCTCGAGCACGGCTGGAAGTCGGTTGATGTGGACTGGCGTCCTGGTGAAGCAGAATCCTTGGATTACTTTCAGGGCCAAGCTGTTTCAGTAAGTTAGCATGGTAATCACCATCAAAGGAGGTACCACTGGACAGGTAGTACTGTTTCCAAACATGGTCGCCATAACCTTCTCGTGGTTTTGAACTTCATCAAATGGGATGCCGTAAAGGATTCGAAATATAGTCCAACATTATGATCAAATTTATAAAACCTTTTATTTCTAGAATTGAAAGTGCTGACCATCTTATTTGATATCAAGTATGCATTTCAGTCTTTTGCATGCAGAAGACGTACAAATTTTAATAGTGCATTTCTTAACATGATTTTGCCCTATTGTGATTCTTCAACAAACCCTGGCTGTTGGTGGCTCCCTCAACAGCTGTACTGTTACGATCCTGGCTGTTGGTGTTTCCTTCAACAGCTGCACTGTTACGATCCTGGCTGTTGGTGTCTCCCTTAACAGTCGTCTTGTTGCGATCCTGGCTGTTGGTGTCTCCCTAGACAGCCGTTCCGATAAGACCCTGGATGTTGGTGTCTCCTTAGACAGTTGTCCGATACGATCCTGGATGTTGGTGTCTCCCTGATAGCTGTCCGATACGACCCTGGATCTTCGTGTTTCCATAGACAGCTGTCCGATACTACCCTGGATGTTGGTGTCTCCCAAGAAAGCCTTCCGATACGACCTTGGGTGTTGGTGTCTCCCTGATAGCTGTCAGATACGACCCTGGATGTTAGTGTCTCCTTAGACAGCTGTCCGATACGACCCTGGATGATGATGTCTCCTTAGACAGCCGTCCGATAGACCCTGGATGATGATGTCTCCTTAGACAGCCACTACGATACTATCCTGGATGTTGGTGTCTCCCTGGAAAGCCTTCCGATACGACCTTGGGTGTTGGTGTTTCCGTAGAAAGCTGTCCGATAGACCCTGGATGTTAGTGTCTCCTTAGACAGCCGTTACGATACGACCCTGGATGTTGGTGTCTCCATAGACAGCCGTTACGATACGACCCTGAAAGTTGGTGTCTCCCTGGAAAGCCTTCCGATACGACCCTGGATGTTGGTGTCTTCCTAGAAAGCCTTCCGATACGACCCTGACTGTTGGTGTCTCCATAGACAGCCGTTACGATACGACCCTGAAAGTTGGTGTCTCCCTGGAAAGCCTTCCGATACGACCCTGGATGTTGGTGTCTTCAAAAGCCTTCAAAACTGTTGGTGTTTCCGATTGCAAGATGATTAAATATTTAACTTTTTTACCACAACAGGCCTGTAAATACGTTATTAAAAATGTACATCGCGAGTCGAATAAAACAGTGGTCCCAACGGACTATTCCCCACCATCTCTAAAGTCATGTATAAATGCTTATCGATACGCAAAAATAGCTCAAGCCATCGTAATTCAGTTCAGAATGTGTGCTGACGTCTTTCTCGACTGTCTTAAAATACTTTCCCATGTTATTACAGTCTGGTATTGTCCAATAGGTCTGATAATGACCATTTTAAGCTGTATGAACACATAAGGAGAAGTTTAACCTTTACTTCCCATTTGTACAGTCCACGAATAAGGAATAAATTCTACAATATGCTATTTTCAAATTAGACTCTCGTAGACATTTTGGCAATCGTTGTCTGGGACAAATATCTAATCCATGAAGTTTCAAATGTTTATACAGACTATCGCCCATTCATGTCAATTGCTCATATGAATTATTTTATGACATAAGACGTGTCTTACATAGACTTATACCTGAGCATGTTTCCAGTCAACACATAAATATCGTTGTAAGAAATAGACTGTTGAATTATTTCACCATGCTTTATTCGTTAATGTTGTTTATGAAATGAAGGTTTAAAACAAACCGATATGAAATATGTAAGCCACTTTTAGTGGGTTTATTACAATATTTCTATGTATGATTCCGTATCTGTATTTAAGATTGTAAAATGTTATTATTTCCATCCATTTACGTATCCATGTAATCTTAGCCAACTTACAGTGCATCTCATATCCCAGTAAAACGTATACAGCATCAATGTGATCAGCAGGGTTTAAACATTGATCAAAGTATCAATAGAATCCCTAATAGTAAGTCAATTCCAACATGTAAATTCTGGACCTGTAGTGGTCATTTTTAATGTCGTACAACATCTATTAATAAATGGAATGAAAGTCTTTTCAAGCCTTTATTTATCTGTATCGTTCAATTTATTTTGCAGCCGCTATATGTTTAGTTCCTAACTTCCCTAACCTTATTTAATTATCAATGTTGTTTAATTTCGACATCAGCTTTGGGATGGTGTATTAACGCTAACAGCGTGAGTGATCAGACTTATATCCTGCTCAAATGTGGTGAAATATAAAAACAATAGTCGAAGAATTTTGCTCAGATCTCTGTTAATAAACGTCAGTACCTATCCCCTAGTTACTCTCAGGAATGATCAAAACATGCTCACATTTGTTAGGTTACCTCTATTCATTTTATCATTAGCTAAAATCATTATTTCCAAAAATATTACCGGGTACAGAGTTTTCAACCTAAACTTTGTACGTCATGGGGTAGCGATATTTAAATACAAAATCATCCCAATAGAAGATTAATTGTTTGCAAATTTTGGCGAAAATTGACCATCAAATAATCAAATTTGATTCTTTCACTCTTCGCAAATCCCAAGGGATCAGTCAACTGACCCTGTAACACGAAAATTACAGGAATAATCAAATGAGATTTATAATGTGACGAAAGATTTGGTGGATATTCTTTGGGAGCTTGAGTATGCTGTTATATTTCCAAGAATAAACACAGAAGAAACAATAGTTGTAGTTAACTATATTTTTACTTTATGAAAAAATAAGCAGTCAAGCACTCTATTAAAACTTTAAATGAACAATATAAACAGAGGTGAAACATATATCGGAAATCTTAAATCACACTAATCAATATTCTCTTCTCCAAATAACTGACAAATAAAGAACATATTACTTTCGTATACATGTTTAACATAATGTATTACAATTCATTACTGTCCGGATAGTATACAAAACACATGGAGTCACCGAAACGCGTTCTATCGGGCCATCTGATGATACAACAATCGTTATCACATTCAGTAAAAGTTTATCCAACACTGTCAACAGTACGGAACTAGTTATACAGTGTCCGTCACTGTCCGTCTTATTACACCAAAGGCAATATGGAACTAGTTATACACTGTCCGTCACTGTCCGTCTTATTACACCAAAGGCAATATGTAACTAGTTATACACTGTCCGTCACTGTACGGAATCAGTTATACACTGTCTGTCACTGTCCGTCTTATTACACCAAAGGCAATATGGAACTAGTTATACACTGTCCGTCACTATCAGTCTTATTACACCAAAGGCAATATGTAACTAGTTATACACTGTCCGTCACTATCAGTCTTATTACACCAAAGGAAATACGGAACTAGTTATACACTGTCCGTCACTGTACGGAACCAGTTATACACTGTCCGTCACTGTCAGTCTTATAACACCAAAGGCAATATGGAACTAGTTATACACTGTCCGTCACTGTACGGAACCATTTATACACTGTCCGTCACTGTACGGAACCAGTTATACACTGTCCGTCACTGTCAGTCTTATTACACCAAAGGAAATACGCAACCAGTTATACACTGACCGCCACTGTCCGTCTTATTACACCAAAGTCAATATGGAACTAGTTATACACTGTCCGTCACTGTCAGTCTTATTACACCAAAGGCAATATGGAACTAGTTATACACTGTCCGTCACTGTACGGAACCAGTTATACACTGTCCGTCACTGTCAGTCTTATTACACCAAAGGCAATATGGAACTAGTTATACACTGTCCGTCACTGTAAGGAACTAGTTATACACTGTCCATCACTGTCAGTCTTATTACACCAAAGGAAATACGGAACCAGTTATACACTGTCCGTCACTGTACAGAAACGGTATACACTGTTCGTTACTGTCAATCTTATTACACCAAAGGAAGTACGGACATTGTCCGTCTTATTACACCAAAGACAGTACGGAACCAGTTATACACTGTCCGTCACTGTACAGAAACAGTTATACAGTGTCCGTCACTGTACAGAACTAGTTATACACTGTCCGTCACTGTCAGTCTTATTACACCAAAGAAAGTACGGAACCAGTTATACACTGTCCGTCACTGTACAGAAACGGTATACACTGTCCGTCACTGTACAGAACTAGTTATACACTGTCCGTCACTATCAGTCTTATTACACCAAAGGAAGTACGGAACCAGTTATACACTGTCCGTCACTGTCAGTCTTATTACACCAAAGGCAGTTATACACTGTCTGTCACTGTCCGTCTTATTACACCAAAGGAAATACGGAACTAGTTATACACTGTCCGTCACTGTCCGTCTTATTACACCAAAGGAAATACGGAACTAGTTATACACTGTCCGTCACTGTCAGTCTTATTACACCAAAGGCCAGTTATACACTGTATTACACCAAAGGCAATATGGAACTAGTTATACACTGTTCGTCACTGTCAGTCTTATTACACCAAAGGCAATATGGAACTAGTTATACAGTGTCCGTCACTGTACAGAACTAGTTATACACTGTCCGTCACTGTCAGTCTTATTACACCAAAGGAAGTACGGAACCAGTTATACACTCACTGTCCACTTATACACTGTCACTGTCAGTCTTATTACACCAAAGGCAATATACACTGGTCAACACCAAAGGCAATAGTTTATACACTGTCCGTCACTTATACACTGTCCGTCACTGTCAGTCTTATTACACCAAAGGAAATACGCAACCAGTTATACACTGACCGCCACTGTCAGTCTTATTACACCAAAGGCAATATGGAACTAGTTATACACTGTCCGTCACTGTACGGAACCAGTTATACACTGTCCGTCCCTGTAAGTCTTATTACACCAAAGGCAATATGGAACCAATTATACACTATCCGTCACTGTCAGTCTTATTACACCAAAGGCAATATGGAACTAGTTATACACTGTTCGTCACTGTCAGTCTTATTACACCAAAGGCAATATGGAACTAGTTATACACTGTCCGTCACTGTAAGGAACTAGTTATACACTGTCCATCACTGTCAGTCTTATTACACCAAAGGAAATACGGAACCAGTTATACACTGTCCGTCACTGTACAGAAACGGTATACACTGTTCGTTACTGTCAATCTTATTACACCAAAGGAAGTACGGAACTAGTTATACACTGTCTGTCATTGTCCGTCTTATTACACCAAAGACAGTACGGAACCAGTTATACACTGTCCGTCACTGTCAGTCTTATTACACCAAAGAAAGTACGGAACCAGTTATACACTGTCTGTCATTGTCCGTCTTATTACACCAAAGACAGTACGGAACCAGTTATACACTGTCCGTCACTGTACAGAAACAGTTATACACTGTCCGTCACTATCAGTCTTATTACACCAAAGGAAGTACGGAACCAGTTATACACTGTCCGTCACTGTACAGAACTAGTTATACACTGTCCGTCACTGTACAGAAACAGTTATACAGAAACAGTTATACAGTGTCCGTCACTGTACAGAACTAGTTATACACTGTCCGTCACTATCAGTCTTATTACACCAAAGGAAGTACGGAACCAGTTATACACTGTTCGTCACTGTACAGAAACAGTATACACTGTCTGTCACTGTCAGTCTTATTACACCAAAGGCAATATGGAACTAGTTATACACTGTCCGTCACTGTACGGAATCAGTTATACACTATCTGTCACTGTCCGTCTTATTACACCAAAGGAAGTACGGAACCAGTTATACACTGTTTGTCACTGTCCGTCTTATTACACCAAAGGAAATACGGAACTAGTTATACACTGTCCGTCACTGTCAGTCTTATTACACCAAAGGAAGTACGGAACCAGTTATACACTGTCCGTCTTATTGCACCAAAGGAAATATGGAACTAGTTATACACTGTCCGTCACTGCACGGAACCAGTTATACACTGTCCGTCACTGTCAGTTTTATTTCACCAAAGGAAGTACGGAACCAGTTATACACTGTCTGTCACTGTCCGTCTTATTTCAACAAAGGAAATACGGAACTAGTTATACACTGTCCGTCACTGTACAGAACCAGATATGCACTGTCCGTCACTGTACGGAACCAGTTATACACTGTCCGTCACTGTCAGCGTTATTACACCAAAGGAAATACGGAACTAGTAATACACTGTCCGTCACTGTCCGTCTTATTACACCAAAGGCAATATGGAACCAGTTATACACTGTCCGTCACTGTCCGTCTTATTACACCAAAGGCAATATGAAACTAGTTATACACTGTCCGTCACTGTACGGAACCAGATATACACTGTCCGTCACTGTCCGTCTTATTACACCAAAGGAAATACGGAACTAGTTATACACTAGCACTTTTCTGCAATTGTAAAAAAAAACGAAGAAAACACCAACCTGTCAACAGAATCTCAATACAAGGAACTGAAGACAAAATATGAAAATTAAAAACAATTACCAGGAGAGTTCTAAAAACAACAAGGATAAAGCGCATGTAAGTGCCATGGAAATCTTGATCACACAAAGGAAATAATGTCATGTTCCAAAATAAGAACAATGTCAATAAAAAACATGATACTAGTGAACATCAACTTCCAATCGCATGAGAATCTAACATAGTTTCCAGTGAGATCATAATGATGACCTAAACCTAAATTGAACCTGAATACATTCTCAAACAAGGAGCCGCAAAGAGTGGCATTATCCCATACAACCGAGGGCTTTTGGTGTGAAACTCAAAAATGATACATTTATAACAATATATATCACAATTAATGGTAAAACAATTTGTGACGTCACTCAATTATGTACAGCTACTATTACCTGAAGATCTAATACATTAAAAGCGCTAGTGCAAATTGTAGTGTTTTCTTTTGTCAATTATCAATTAAATTTCTTACATCTCAAATTCAACAGTTCATATATATATAAACATATTTATCAACCTTATAGTAAGAGTTTATATCTTGATGTAGATTCTGTGTTTAACTGTTGATATTTGAATAGAGCTTGGTATTGTCCATGAACAAATTTATGAAACACACTATACTCTCTGGAGTAATACAAGAAATCACAAGAAATCAACAAGTTTGATGGTAAAAGAAAAAGGGTAAATAATGAAATGTCCTTCATAAGAAAAGGCACAACTAGGCACTAACCTAATATATACAGAAAATTTTGTGGAGTTGAGTGGAATGGTTGCAAAATTTGTAGTCCATAAAGGAAAGTTAACACTAATTTTGTGATTCTTTATTAGGTTTCCACGGTAATAGAAAAAAATATGAAAAATGAAATGTTGCCAATAGCAAACCGCACAACTAGGGTACTAACCTAATATGTATAGAAAGGTTTGTTGAGTTGAAGGGAAGCATTTTGAAGTTGTAACCTGGAAAGGAAAGTAAACACTAATTTCAAGGTGTTTAGCTATGTTTCTGTGGAAACACAAAAATATCTTTTCAAAAATTAAATATCATCAACAGTAAAAGGCAAAACTAGGGCGCTAACTTAATATATACAGAAATTTTGTGATGTTGAGTTGAATGGTTTTGAAGTTATTGGCTAAAAAATTCCAAATGGATGGATAGACTGCCGGATGTACATGCACACATAAACGGATAAAGCCCAAATTAATATTCCCCACAAATGTATTAACATGATTACTCTTTATGCAACCATATACCTTACTACGGAGCAGCCATCTATTTTTACCACTTTTGTCCTTCAAACATATCTCTTTCCATATTCTTTATATGTGTTACATTGTGTCCATACATGCAAGTTATATGATATCATGTTTCTTGTGAATACATTACATGTTGCTATCACAAACTACCCAATAATAGATGAGAGGTTGGGCTGTTATTAGATGATACATTTTTATTGTGCCCAATCCCTTTATTCCTTTGAAGCAATCAAATATCTTTAAACCAACAAACTTTATCAAACAATATCAGCATAATAAGAAGGGCAATCATAAACATCATACGCCTATCCCATGTCAAAGAAATATTCAGGCGATGTATCAAAAAGAATGTAAATATGGTAACAGTGAACGCCAAAACATCATAAGGGAAAACAGCGCCATATGTTTAAATGATAAAAAAAAGCACATCAAGCAAAATAGTTTTGACAGGCGTATAAAAATGGCAAAGTACATCATACAACAATAGATACTGAGTTCCAAATATGAAGTGAGTCCTAAAACTGTATGTAAGCTTTCAGTCATTGGAAATATTAATTGGGCATTGTACTGTAGCATTATTTAAAGATCATGAGAAAAGGAGGAACACATTTCCATGTCATTCTCATGCAGTACATACTGGGTACCTAATTTGATGTGGAGTTAGTAAAATCCAGAATGATTTGATTACACAACATATTAGACAGACAGAACTTGATGACATACATGTATTCCGACTGTCTGGTAAATCCTACAGGTTTAGCATAAAGAGGTTATGTAGATTAAACAGATATTATGATGTATTTTTTTTAATTTGTCTAAATGTATGAATACAAATAAATTGGTGCATTTCAAGAATGGAAGCTGTTCCTGTTGAGCATTATGGCAGCCCATTTGAGAGGAAATCCTATTTCAAATTCCCTGTTTGATTGTATACATGGAATATTTCTATCTATTTTGATACGTATGAATTAATAGATTAGGAGAGTCGAGTGTACACGCCAACAAAATCTACACATTTGAGGAATTTGGGAAAATGAAACAAAAAAGAGTAAACAAAACAACTACAGCACATTGTTATCACTTCTTGTGTGTCATCAGAATGTCACACTCTAATCGCCTACTGGTTGTGTTATAAGATGAAGGTGACCGTGTAGTCATCAGAACGTCACACTCTAATCACCTACTGGTTGTGTTATAAGATGAAGGTGACCGTGTAGTCATCAGAACGTCACACTCTAATCACCTACTGGTTGTGTTATAAGATGAAGGTGACCGTGTAGTCATCAGAATGTCACACTCTAATCACCTACTGGTTGTGTTATAAGATGAAGGTGACCGTGTAGTCATCAGAACGTCACACTCTAATCGCCTACTTGTTGTGTTATAAGATGAAGGTGACCGTGTAGTCATCAGAACGTCACACTCTAATCTTCTACTGGTTGTGTTATAAGATGAAAGTGACTGTTTAGTCATCAGAACGTCACACTCTAATCTTCTACTGGTTGTGTTATTGATATTACCAACTTGAAGAAAATGTTAAGAAATAAATCATCATGAAAAATCCATATCCTTAATATTTGGTATCCTTTGAAGTCCTGGGTTTCTGCTTCATAAGCTCTAGTTGAAAATATTGAAATCATCTAGATTGTATCACATTTTGAAGCATAAGATATTCTTGGTATAATTTTACACAATCCAATTGTACATTTAATACATTTTCCAATTCAAGTAGAAATGTAGAAGAATTTTCAATATTATTTACAAGTGTATGTGTAGTTACACCGTAGATACCTGCACTGCCTTGGAATTAAACATTTGTAATAAGAACTGTGTATCGTCAGTTCCACCCACTAAATAAATTGTCTTTAATTTTGAATTTGTGTTCTGCTGCTGTCTGGTGGCAAACTTCTCCAGCTCTTCTACACAGATCTGCCAAATGTGATCTGATTGTCCTGGTTTAAGTGTACCTGCCAATGAAAATTCATGTAAAACCAATATGATATGACACAATTGTCAATACTAAATTAAATGTAAGTAAGCAGAACATGTTTGCTTAAGAAGGTCTTTGTGGCTTGGTTTGACATTTTGTCTGTAGATATGAATCTATCCTAGCAAAAGATCAATGATAATTCAAATATAAACCTTATTCGTATTACCACTATTGCAAAACAATTAATTTCAACTTATTATAATTACTCTTGTTGGTCATGATATATAGTGTGCATATGACTTCCTATCTTCCCATGCCTTTTCAGGGAACCAAACCTGGATGGTGGGTGAAAGAGCAGCATGTTACCAGTACACCAACTGCAGGCCCCTCGGGACCAAGACACACCATTACACAAAACTGGTCCCATAAACTTCCGAGGATGCTTCTGACCAAATTACGTCAAACTGATGGATAGACCCCAGACACCACATCATAGACTGACTTGCAATTTTCTAATAGTTTATCTTCCCTTCCTGTAAAATCAGCACTATCTCCCCAGCCATTCGTATTAGCTCACTGGTCCTTCAGTTTTCCTACAGGATTTTAGAGAATATGCTCATCTTGAGTACAGCCCACCTGCCTCTGGATGCAGAGAAGAACACTTTGCACAAAATTGTTTCTCATTCATCCGATAATACAAATTTTGACCAAATCCAATCGTTCCTACATAAGGAAAAGCCTTTTGAATAGTTTACTCTATTGCTATAATTGGGGGCTGAGAGACCTACAATTTCTATAAAATTGATGCCCCTTTGCCCTAAAATGCTTCAGACCAAATTGGGGTAAAATCAAATCAATTCTACAGGAGTAGGATAACAAGAATTTCCTCTATAAAGGACTCTGCCCTCCTACTCTAAGGAGGCAGAAATTCACAATAAAACTGATTCCCATTCACTCAAGATTGTTTCAGACAAATTATGGGTGAATTCCAATTATTTCTTTTGGAGGCATCACATTTTGAATGACTTCTGCTATTTCCCTTCTTGGGCCCCATCCCTTCCTCCCCTGGTGGTAGAAATGCACCGACTATACAAATATGATTCCCCTTCCCCAAGAAAGTTTCAGACCACTTTGGCAAAATCAAATCATTCCAAAGTGAGGAGTAGAATTTCTAATGATTTTCTCTATATTCCCTATTAGGGCCTGCCCCATCACCCCAGGCTGACAAAAAAAACCCATTTATACTTATTAATACTCCTTCACTGAAGAATGTTTCAGACCAACTCTGGGCAAAATGCAATCACTTCTACATGAGCAATACAATTTTAAAGAATTTGCTCTATTTTCCCTATTTGGCCTCGCCTCTCCCGTCCCAAGGGGGACTGACACACACTATGTGAATTGAATACACTTCATCAACCGATGCTTCCTTCGATTCATCACTACAGGAGAAGTAGGAATTTAAAATACACTGTGTATTTCAATTTCCCCTATGTCGGGCCACGGTAAGATAGATGTCGGGCCATGGTATAATAGATGTCAGGCCATGGTAAGATAGACGTCGGGCCATGGTATGATAGACGTCGGGCCATGGTATGATAGATGTCGGGCCATGGTAAGATAGACGTCGGGCCATGATATGATAGACGTCGAGCCATGATATGATAGATGTCGGGCCATGGTATAATAGATGTCAGGCCATGGTATGATAGACGTCGGGCCATGGTATGACAGATGTTGGGCCATGGCAAGATAGATGTCAGGCCTTGGTATGATAGATGTCCAGCCATGGTATGATAGATGTCAGGCCATGGTATGATAGATGTTGGACCATGGTATGATAGATGTTGGACCATGGTATGACAGATGTTGGGCCATGGTATGATAGACGTGTGGCCATGGTATGATAGACGTCGGGCCATGGTATGATAGACGTCGGGCCATGGTATGACAGACGTCGGGCCATGGTATGTTAGACGTCGGGCCATGGCATGAATGACGTCAGGCCATGGTATGATAGACGTCGGGCCATGGTATGAAAGACGTCGGGCCATGGTATGGTATATGTCTGGCCATGGTATGATATATGTTGGGCCATGGTATGACAGATGTCAGGCCATGGTATGATATATGTTGGGCCATGGTATGACAGATGTCCAGCCATGGTATGATAGATGTCGGCCCATGGTATGACAGATGTTGGGCCATGGTATGATAGACGTCAGGCCATGGTATGACAGATGTCAGGCCATGGTATGATAGATGTTGGGCCATGGTATGATATATGTTGGGCATGGATATGATAGATGTCATGCCTTGGTATGATAGATGTGTGGCCATAGTATGATAGATGTCATGCCTCGGTATGATAGACGTGTGGCCATGGTATATGTCGGGCCATTGTATGATAAATGTCAGGCCATGGTACAATATATGTCAGGCCATGGTAAGATAGATGTCAGGCCATGGTACAATAGATGTCAGGCCATGGTATGATAGATGTCGGGCCATGGTATGACAGACGTCGGGCCATGGTATGTTAGACGTCGGGCCATGGCATGAATGACGTCAGGCCATGGTATGACAGATGTCAGGCCATGGTATGATAGATGTTGGGCCATGGTATGACAGAAGTCTGGCCATGGGAAGATAGACGTCTCGCCAAGGCATGAATGACGTCAGGCCATGGTATGACAGATGTCAGGCCATGGTATGATATATGTTGGGCCATGGTATGATGGATATCAGGCCATGGTATGACAGATGTCAGGCCATGGTATGATATATGTTGGGCCATGGTATGATGGACATCAGGCCATGGTATGACAGATGTCAGGCCATGGTATGATATATGTTGGGCCATGGTATGATGGACATCGGGCCATGGTATGACAGATGTCAGGCCATGGTATGATATATGTTGGGCGATGGTATGATATATGTTGGACCATGGTATGATAGACGTCGGGCCATGGTATGATAGACGTCAGGCCATGGTAAAATATATGTCAGGCCATGGTATGATATATGTTGGGCCATGGTATGACAGATGTCCAGCCATGGTATGACAGATGTTGGGCCATGGTATGATAGACGTCAAGCCATGGTATGACAGATGTCAGGCCATGGTATGATATATGTTGGGCCATGGTATGACAGATGTCAGGCCATGGTATGATATATGTTGGGCCATGGTATGACAGATGTCAGGCCTTGGTATGATAGACATGTGGCCATGGTATGATAGATGTCGTCCCATAGCATAAGCTTATCATAAGCTAATATTAAAGCATCTTTATGCTTAAGTTACAAATCCACAGTTCCTAGGTTTTTGCCATATACAAATCAATCTATTTGTTAACATGCAGTAACTGGTACTGTTTAGTATCATAAAACATTTTGACATCTTGCTTATTAAGTTTAGCAAGCAATATTGATTGTTAAGATAATAGCTGGTACATACCTTCTAAGTGTAACTTACTAACAAGAGACCCATGACCTCAACAGTCACCTGAGGTCTTAGATCTTTGGACAGGTTTAGAACCTGTCGATCAGTACCAGCATTAAGTGAAGGTCATTCGTCTTAACAAACTTGGTAGCCCTTCATCCCAAAATGTAACAGACCCAAAATCAGGTCTCTGAGCCTCTCAGTTATTGAGAAGTTGTTTTAATATTTCAGCATATTATGTATTATATATCAGAATAAATGTCAAGGTTAATCATTTAAACAAACTTGGCAGCCCTTCTTTCCCGATTGTTTTGCCTTACCTTGAAAGTAAGTCAAGGTCATTAATTTGAACTAATTCTGTAGCCCGTCATCCCAGCATGTAAGTGGCCAAATATCATGACCCTATGCCTTTTCATTATAGAGAATTTGATAAACAAGAGGCCCAAATCAGTCACTTTGGATCTTCAGGACTGTGGGCAGTTTTATAACCTGTCAATTAGTCCAAGCTTTAAGTCAAGATCATTCATGTGAACAAGCTGGGTAGCTCTTCATCTGAAAATGCTACAGACATAAATCAGGTCTCTGAGCCTCTCAGTTATTGCGAAAAAGTTGTTTGAAGATATCAGCATACTTGACCACTGTGACATTAAATAATGGTCACAGTCACTTATCAAATTGGTAGCCCTTCTTTCAAGAATACTATGCTTGGTTATTGAGAAAATATCATTTGAAGATATTAGCATATTTGACCCATGTGAGCTTGAATGACAGTCAAGGAAGAAGAAGTTCATTAAATACTTTAACACATTTGACCCTTCTGACCTTGAAAAGAGGTCATTCATTTGAACAAACTTAGTACCTCTTAATCGACTCCAGACAAAAGGTGAAAGCAATAGGTCACTTGAGACTTTGTCTAAGGTGACCTAAATATGAAAAAGCCGTGAATACATATTGAAAAAATGCACTTTTGCTTCTACAGAAATTTACAATAAAAATTATTTACTGTCCGAAAAAAAGCTATTCCATTTATCTATAGAATAGGGAAATTTCAACCCAGTCAATATTATGGGTAAACCAATTTTAATTGTCAAGGATATCTAGCCTCAGTATGGGAAGCTTACCTTTGTGGCAAAATGCTGAAAAGTTTTTGCAAACAAAAGCAGTGTGCTGCATTGAAAGAATGAAAATTCTTTGTTCTAAGTTTGTCATCAGATATGAAATGATGGAAAACAAAATAAAACATGGTGCTCACAAGCCTTAATGGTCATCTGACCATAATGACATATATGGCCTTATAGGCCGAACATAAATTGCTGCACTATTCTACAACTAACATAAAGACTTTTTCTGCAAACTTGAAATCATGTTCCTTATACATGCACTACACAAATACTAAAGACAAGTTGTTTGATAAAACAAAATATGCTACAGACCTAATATCAAGACCCTTGGCCTTTTGGTTATTGAGAAGAAGTTTCTTAATCATTTCAAAACATATGACCCCTATGACCTTGAAAACTGATCCAGGTAAATAATTTGTCATTTTAACATATTTGGTAGTCCTTTATCCATTCATCCTACAGCCTGTCCCTTTTGGCTATTGAGAACAAGCTTAAAGATTTTTTTTACATATTTGACCTCTGTGACTTTGATAGGGAAGATGATTCATATTGAGATATTGATGAGCCCTTTGTCTAAGCATGCAACAGGTCCTATATCAGCACCCTCGGCATTCTGGTTATTGAGAAGATGTCATTTGAATGGAAAGTTAAGTATGGCGGATGGTTCACAAGGATGGACGAAACACAGTGGCTTTAGGTCATCTTGACTTTGGGTCAGATTTTTAGCAAGATCTTCATTTGAGTTACATAAGAATATGTTATTATATTTGTTGGTTTTTACGGAGACAGATAAACGGAACTATTTTTATAACCAAAACATATTTAAAACATTTCAACTAAATATCATACAAACCTGTTGCAAATGATGGAATAGCAACAGAATCTAGGTCCATTTCATACACCTTCTCCAGCAACTTGTATATGCATGCCCTGGTGTTGTCAGCGAAACACTTGAATAACTTATCATTTTCTGATATGGCTTTGTCAGAAACAGGTCCAATCACATGCAGCACATGTGAAACTTTATTCAACCTCCCGGCACTTGTACAAACAATATCTGATATATTGTAATGTTTCTTTTTCTTTTTCATTTCATCCTTTTCCGTTCTGTACCTATCACCTGCTACTTTTGCGATTTCCCTTGCGACATATCGAACAGAGCTAAACTTCTCATCTTCGATACTGACCAGAGCTGAAGTTTTTGTTTCTACATATGTTCCCTTCATAATACACACAATGAGCTTTTCAGACAGCATGCATGTTCCGCCAGTGTCATTTTTTGATAGCCATAGAGGGTAACAAGATGGGTACCTCTGAAAGCCAGGATAATTACCAGCTTTGGGTTTTTTGCTTACACTGGTAGCTTTACATGTAGACACTACTTTCAGTTTTCTCTGGAACTCAGCTGTTATCTTCTTCACAATTTCCTGGTTCTTATCAACACAATGGATTTCCGTCAATACAGACATATTGTCAGTTTCAGACCAGGTCATGACAGCCTCTCTGAATGCACCAGTAAGAACATCTGTTGGACAATTTCCAGATCCTGATGAATAAGAAATTTAGTAAAGACAAAGTACATAGAAATAATATGGTAATATAACAACAAAGTTAACATTCTTTAGTACAAAAAACATATCTTGTACATGTGTAATCATCACAAACAAAAACTTTAATAGAACATTTGACCCTTGATAACTTTGACAGAACATTTGACCCTTGATAACATTGACAGAACATTTGACCCTTGATAACATTGATAGAACATTTGACCCTTGATAACATTGATAGAACATTTGACCCTTGATAACTTTGATAGAACATTTAACCCTTGATAACATTGATAGAACATTTGACCCTTGATAACTTTGATAGAACATTTGACCCTTGATAACATTGATGGAACATTTGACCCTTGATAACATTGATAGAACATTTGACCCTTGATAACATTGACAGAACATTTGACCCTTGATAACATTGATGGTACATTTGACCCTTGATAACTTTAATAAAACATTTGACCCTTGATAACTTTGATGGAACATTTGACCTGTGATAACTTTGATGGAACATTTGGCCCTTGATTACTTTGATAGAACATTTGACCCTTGATAACTTTGATAGAACATTTGACCCTTAATAACATTGATGGAACATTTGACCCTTGATAACAATGATAGAACATTTGACCCGTGATAACTTTGATGGAACATTTGACCCGTGATAACTTTGATGGAACATTTGACCCTTGGTAACATTGATAGAACATTTGACCCATGATAACTTTGATGGAACATTTGACCCGTGATAACTTTGATGGAACATCTGACCCTTGATAACATTGATGGAACATTTGACCCTTGATAACACTGATAGAACATTTGACCCTTGATAACATTGACAGAACATTTGACCCTTGATAACTTTGACAGAACATTTGACCCTGGATAACATTGATAGAACATTTGACCCTTAATAACTTTGATGGAACATTTTTGACCCTTGATAACTTTGATGGAACATTTTTGACCCTTGATAACTTTGATGGAACATTTGACACTTGATTGCCAAGATCTTAATTTTAATCGTTATTATCTATCTCATTTATTATAACACATTTAAAATGAACCAAACAGAGAAGTAGAGACCTTTGAATCAACATCATGAACACGATTTACATTGTAGTCATCACAAAATCAACTTGAACTACCTAAAAACCCTTGTTCTTCAGGAACACCTGGTCTTATTCTCTGTGTACTTTTTTCAAGAGTCTCTGTACAAAACCTTCTTTTGTTCATATTTTGCCCAAGTTTTATTGACTTTGAGTTTGAATTATGATTATGTTGACATGTTGGTATTTTTTTTTGTTTTGTTTTTGTATACCTAATTTGATTAATCTTACAGGTGACATAACTGGTAAATCATCTAAAAAAAAATGGTTAATCCAATCCTTGTTTGTATGGGCCTCTCTGCTCTGTATCTTAAAGTCAAGATTGATATCAATCAAATTGGGTGAAATTTCTTCGTCCCTAAAGATTAAATCCTTCATTCCTTATTATGATCTATAATTCTTTTCCCTTATGAAGGATAAAGGAACACAAACCCTAATTATCTACACATGAATAACTTGTGCCCTAATACTTATAATTGCTTTCAGGCCAAGTCAGCTGAAAATTTCTAACTCACCAAAATGATAACTTATTAAAGATTAGTTTCCAGTGTTTATTGATTGAATGAAACTCACCTATAGCAGGAAGTGCAAGAGATCTAGCTCTGACATTTGTGGCCTCATTCAAAGCATTGATAATTGTCTTGCTGAGATCATTCTGGTATATTTCTCTCTTGTCAGCCTCTCTTCCTAAGTTCTTATAATCAGCCCATACTGGATGGACAGCGTGAATGATGCATTGGTAATGAAGTTTTCCAGCAGTGGTGAAATGACAATCACCCATGTTAAGCTTACAACTAGTAAATATATTGTGGCATGCTTCATCATATTCAGATCCAGCAGCCAGAAAGATTTCATGTGACAGACCGTAGGAATTGTCTAGTTTCTCATTTGTGCCATGCACAAGTACATCTACATCAACCTCCAGGATGTTTCCTTCATACACAAACACCTTTAATCCATCCTTTGTCTGCAACACTTCAGACCCTGATGGTGCTGTCTCTCTTTTTCTCCCACTTGGAAATGATTTCATTTGTTTCTTTTCAATTTGATTATAAGGCCTTTTAATGGCTTTTAGTACCATCTGTGCAGCCTGCTCGACAAGATCAGCCTTCTCTCCAACAAGTTCGACTTGTTTGTCCCATTGGTTATACTCACAAAATATTTTCATGGTAGACATGTACTCCTTCTCTTGTTTGAGATGAGTTTGAAAATGTTTCACCTCTGACTCATTCAGGTTTTTAACATTTCTTCTAGGATAACGTTCCAGCTGATCTATTGCTCTTCTGAATCTTCCATTAATGTCCTGTATGCATACTGTGTTATCTTCACTAAATGTGATTTTCACATCACTGGTTATCCCTGGATTGAAAAAGCACACCTCTTGGAACTGTTCTGATGTACATTTTGAGTTATCTACATCTCCAGACCTGTTGAACACTGCTTCGTTATCAAAATCCACATTTTCCTCTGTTGTAGTATTCACCCCTCCTGAAACGTGTTCCTTGTCTGAAACGTGTTCCTTGTCTGAAACGTGTTCCTTGTTTCTTCTTTCATGCTTTTGTCCTTCTTCATTGTTACAACTTCCATTCTTATCTTTCCTGTCAATGTAAAATGTCTTCTGTATATCTCCCTTGTTGTGACCTTTTTGGCCTACTTCACCTTTTTCATGACTGCTCAACACTCTTTCTTGTTGGTCATCTACAGCTTTACGCATGGAAGAACTTTTCTGGTTGGGTATTCTGCTCTCTTGGTCAGTACCTTGTCTATTTCTTCCTCTGTCAGTGTCACTTGAGGATCCATCAGCTCCTCTGTTAGGGTTATCTGTTTTTGTATACCTGTTATGTCCATTGCCTAAACCACTGGATCTCTCTGTATTGCCTTGAGAATCATCATTCCCATCTGTGTGACTTTGATTTCCACGGTGGCCACTATTTCCACCCTCTGTGATTTTGACTATATATGTGTAGGCACACTTAATCTCTGGTAAACTTCCTCGCAGAATAAAGGTTCCATTTTCTTCTGAGCAGGTCGCTCCAGATGCTCTGCAAATTGCTGACTTTACCTCTTCAAGTCTTTGGTTATGCAAGATTCTGTCAACAATGGCTTTTTTTAGAGTAGCTTCTATGTTTTGAACAGTCTGAAGAGGGAAAAGAAAAATACAGATATAAGATTTTCTTTCTTTTACCAATTGAAAACCAGAAGACACAAAATAAACAAATATAATAAACAACACATAGCACCCACCACTTTTTTTATCTTAATAAATTCTCAAAAAGTTGGATGTTCCCTTCTTTTCTCTGCTTTTGTTCTGATTAAATGAAATTTTAAAAACCCATTCAGAAAAAGTGATAATGACCTTTAACAGCCAAATCCAATATTGTCGCTTGTTAGCCATTTTTGTTTTTCCTAATCAGACCAAAATTAAAATAGCACACCTAGGGACTGAACTCTACACATTAATTTTGAGAAAGATCCATTCATTTCTTCTTACCATATAGCAAATACAAACTTTTATAGTTAAAATCCAAGACAGCTGCCTGCCAGACTTTTTCTTCTGATCAGTCCAAATATTGAAGTGACACAACATGGGATCAAGGGACACATATATATGAAACTTGAGAAATATTCATAGAGTTCTCCTCAAGAAACAACAATAACAAAATTTCATGAGAGATGGGTTACGCTCCACAAATGGGAAAAACTTTTGTATGAAAAATAACAAAGGGCAATAAGAGAGGTATAATTCTTGTGCACTGCCCTTCTTCCTCTTGAAATCTATCTACCTATGAAGCTTCATGCTGATACCTCACACAGTCTTAGTGTAATGCTAAGGACAAAACAACAATGGATGGACAGACGGACGGACAGAGAAACAGTTGGACCAACAAAGCAGTTAAATGGGCACAGTTACTGAACAAGGGAAGCCTAAAACTGAAATATGAGAAAAATCCATTTAGGACTTCTCAATATACAGTGATAAGAACTTCTCATGCCAAAATCCAAGATGGCTGCCTATCAGACATTTGGTTTTTCATATCATTTCCAAAATGACACCTATAAATACCACTTAGGAAACCCCCATCTAGTGCATCTCAAGAAAAAACGAGAAAAAAACTTTCTTTGTCAAAATCTAAGATAGCCACCTGACAAAACGAGTGACTGAGCAGACCCTTCAAACGAACCTTGAGAAAGATCAATCCTGTACTTCTCAAATAAATATGACAAACTTTCATAATCAAAATCAAAGATGGCTGCCTGTCAGCCATAGTGTTTTTCAGAACAGTCTCAAAATCAAACACGAACATTTAGAAACCATGATAAAGTGACAAATGAAACTAAAAAGAAAAAAAATCCATCAAATACTTCTCTAGGAACAGCAATAACAAACTTTCAGAGTCAAAATCCAAGACTGCTGCCTGTCAGTCATTTGTTTCTTTGATCAGTCCCAAAATCAAACACTCACCAACAGGCATCAAGGAGAATCTAAATATGAAATTTGAGAACAATATACCCAGTACTTAAGCAATCTTTCTCAGTCCAAATACAAGATGGCTACCTTTCAGCCATTTTGTTTTCCTGCTCTTTCCTAAAATCAAACCAGTAAACCAAGAGGAGCCAATAAATGAAATTTGAGAAAGATTCATTTAGTAGTGAAACTGATGAATGTTCCTAAAATGACTTTATTGGACACCAAAATTAAACAAAGGCAATAATTCTGTAATTAAGGTTTTACAGGCCTGGAATTTTTCATACTGCTTATTCTCTTATAATGACCAATGTGTACACCAAGTTTCATAATCCTAGTTGTAATGCAAGCAAAGCCATGCTCATGACACAAACTGACACAAGAATGCCAATAATTCTGTACTGGGGGCACATGGGCCCTGACTTTGCTACATTGCACATTGTTTTGTATGACTGATATGTATCACATTTCAGTATCCTAGTTTAAACACAGGCAAACTCTGGACACAAAGTTTTAACAAAGGGCAATAATATGATGTAATGTGATAAAGTGGATGTGGACCCAAAACTTTAGTACACTGCAGATTGTCTTTAACAGTGTATGCTCAATGTATACACCAAGTAACATTATCTTACCTTATAAGCATGCAAGATGTTTTTAAGTAATGCAATAACTCTGTCATTAAGGGCTACAAGCCCTGAATTTTGTAACTGTACATTGTATTAGTATGACCACTATATCCACCGAGTTTCAATTTTGCAGTTTGAATGCAAGAAATTTACATTAGTGTTCTTAACACAGAATTTCAACAAAGGGTAATAACTCCATCAAACAGGAGTTGCAGCCCCTGAATTTGATACATGTATACACCAAGCTTCATTATCTAAGTTTAAAAGCAAGCAAATTTATGCTCCAAACATGAAATCTTAACAAAGGGCAGTAACTCTGTAATTGAGGGGTTGAGGGCTCTGAATTTAATACACTGCACATCCCCTTAGCATGACCAATGTATACACCAAGTCCCATGATCCTTGCTTACTTGTGTGTAAAGTAGCTCTCCGGACACGAAAGAACAGATAGAAAGACAAACCGAGGGACAAAGAGGCCACTATATCTGCTTCCCGAAAAATTTCGGTGAACATGAAATAAGGGTCAAAATGAAAGAATAACACCTAGATTCAAACTGAGATACAAAATGTTTAGAAGCTGTAATAATGTGAATAACATTTCATTGAATTTTCTAGTCATTAAGATGAACTCCAGCAGAATGTCTGATAGAGAGCAAAAAGTTTTATGACAAATTAATCAGACCTTATTTGGACTTGATTCTGTTAATCAAGTTTAGCACAACTGTGGGCAACTCTCAATTATCATGTTCACAACAAATCATATGAACAATTGGATGAGAAAACTAGTGAGAAGTTTTAATTGATTAAACCTTCAAGAACAGACTGAAGGACACAACATTCTTAATACATACTAGCCTTTATTGTAGCTGATTATGCTATTGGAAATTCAAACTTCATACAAAGTACACCTTGTAACAAATATGAGCCTATTTTGTAGAACCATACCACCAATCATAATCCTTTCACTTATGTATTGCTGACAACACCTAATCCAGCATTCAAATCATTTTATGAAGAAAGTTTTCATTAAGACAATACTGGGTAAATGACTTTCATGGTCATTTTGGATTTCCTCAAGATCCTTCATAAATTTTCGATACATACCTGGGGAGGGAACTTCTCAATCACATATTGATCAGCAGATTGTTTAAGTAGCTTTTCAGCATCTAAAAAACGGAAAAGAGTACCACTTAATCATCACTTAAACCACATGGACACAATATATTGTCATTTGACAATATCTAATGCTAAACTATTTACCAACAAAAGAACTATAAACTTGCTAAATGTTTTTGTAGCTAAGCTAACAAAGTTTAATATATCTTATAATGGGTAAGGGTTACCTTAGTTAGATGGTATGCAAAGTAGAAAATATGATCATTACAACAGACAATGTTGTATGTACATGTACAACACAATAGCATGTAGAAAAATATATGATTATATGACTTCCGTTCTCACTGCTTAACTGATAACTATTGATACTACTTCTCAAGTTACTTTAAAATTACATAATGATCATATTTTAAAGACATGAGTTATATAATGAAACTCTTCTTCAATCAGCTTCCTGATTTATTGTGGAGAACATGAATTTAGGAGAAATTGAATGAGAAACTGTCAGAAACAAGGGTTGTTAGAAACAGGTTATGATCCCTGGACAAAATTTTAAGTATGAAAAATAATAAAGAACAATAACTCCTATATCATGCAAAAGAGAGTGATGGCTTTTGTACACTGTACTTCTACTTTCTGAGATCTATCTACCTATGAAGTTTCATGTTGAAACCTCCTATGGTTTTAGTGTAATGCTCCGGATAAAATTGAAGTATGAAAAAATAACAAAGGGCAATTACTCCTACATTATGCAAAAGAAAGAGTTGTTTCTATCTACGTGTGAAGTTTCATGTTGATACCTCTCAAAGTTTTAGTATTATGCTCTGGACAAAATTTAAGTATGAAATCAAAAACAGACAATAACTCCATTATTATGTAAAAGAGAATGATGGTTCTTATGCAGTGCACTTCTACTTATTGAAAACTATCTACCTATGAAGTTTCATGTTGATACCTATTACTGTTTTGGCATTATTCTCCAGACAAAAATCATGATGGACGGACAGACAAATGGACAGACAGATGGACATAGCGGCGTCTATATGCTCTCCTATCAGGGAGCATAAAAAAATCCCCATCGCCATTTCTCAGAAATATTGCTAACATAAAACATTATACACAGCAGTAAATCTGTCAGAAAGTTTGTCTTCTGATCAGTTTATAATGATATATCTAACAAAGCTTGATAACAGACATATACACTTGTACATACATACACAAAAGTACACACTTGATGAAGGTGAGAATGCTCTGGTGAAAATCAACACAATCAATGACATATTTCTCAGGCAAAAATGTAATACATCAGAATTACCATTAACAGACTGAAGTACAATCAGTGCTTCCATATCTTCCAGGAAGGGACAAACAACAGTAAAGCGTTGTACGTTTTTTCTCAACCAATCTTCAACTTCTGCTTTGTATAATGTCGTTTGATGTTTGGATTTTAGTATCAAGCGTTTTTCTTCATATTCTGTAGTTTGAAGAGTTATGCTGCATCAAAGAATAAAAAATTGTGAAAAAAAAAATGTGTGAAAAGAGTCCTCTTGTAAGATACAGGAATTTATATATAAAATGTTGATTAGATACAATGACAGTCTGATTTTGTTTGTGTCATATCTAGTATACTGGACAGGGCATGTCTGTTTTCAAATGTAGTGTGATTTATTACTTTGCAATATAGAAACGTGTCTTTAAAACAAATTGCCCTGAGGGGAAATTAGAAATGTTGGCATGACTGGATTACATTTACTGTTTTGTAATTATTTAATAGGTGTGTCTCTGAACACACTATCAATCAAAATCTGGTGCAGAATATGAATATGAATGAACCTGTCTACACCTGTTGATGATGTTCATTACATATCCCAAAAATCTGTTTATTTCAATATTATAGAAGGTCCAGTGTTGCCATAGACTCATGGCCATTAAAATAAAATTGTGACGGTGATGAGATCTTGTATACTATTTAAATGATGCTTAATGTCGGCCACACAAAGAGACACAAATACACAAAGTGATTACTGCACCATACATGCAAACCTCTGTATCAAGTCAAAGGTAGAATCATATGACCCTCTCTATGACATTAATAGTAGGATTATCATACCTTTTGTATGAGGGCAAAGGTAGGATTATCAAACCTTCTGTATGAAGGCAAAGGCAGGGATATCATATCTTCTGTATGAAGGCAAAGGAAGGATTATCATACCTTCTGTATGAAGGCAAAGGCAGGGATATCATACCTTGTGTATGAAGGCAAAGGTAGGATTATCATACCTTGTGTATGAAGGCAAAAGTAGGATTATCATACCTTCTGTATGAGGGCAAATGTAGGATTATCATACCTTCTGTATGAGGGCAAAGGTAGGATTATCATACCTTCTATATGAAGGCAAAGGTAGGATTATCATACCTTCTGTATAAAGACAATGGCAGGATTATCATACCTTCTGTATGAAGGCAAAGGAACGATTATCATACCTTCTGTATGAGGGCAATGGTAGGATTATCATACCTTCTGTATGAGGGCAAAGGTACGATTATCATACCTTCTGTATGAGGGCAAAGGTAGGATTATCATACCTTCTGTATGAGGGCAAAGGTAGGATTTTCATACCTATGATGAGGGCAAAGGTAGGATTATCATACCTTCTGTATGAAGGCAAAGGTAGGATTATCATACCTTCTGTATGAGGGCAATGGTATGACGAATTATCATACCTTATGTATGAGGCAAAGGTAGGATTATCATACCTTCTGTATGAGGGCAAAGGTAGGATTATCATACCTTCTATATGAAGACAATGGTAGGATTATCATACCTTCTATATTAGCGCAAAGGTAGGATTATCATACCTTCTATATTAGGGCAAAGGTAGGATTATCATACCTTCTGTATGAGGCAAAGGTAGGATTATCATACCTTCTATATGAAGACAATGGTAGGATTATCATACCTTCTATATTAGGGCAAAGGTAGGACTATCATACCTTGTGTATGAAGGCAATGGTAGGGTTATCATACCTTCTATATGAAGACAATGGTAGGATTATCATACCTTCTATATGAGGGCAATGGTAGGATTATCATACCTTCTATATTAGGGCAAAGGTACGATTATAAAACCTTCTGTATGAGGGCAAAGGTACGATTATCATACCTTCTATATGAGGGCAAAGGTAGGATTATCATACCTTCTGTATGAAGGCAATGGTAGGATTATCATACCTTCTGTATGGCAAAGGTAGGATTATCATACCTTGTGTATGAAGGCAATGGTAGGATTATCATACCTTCTGTATGAGGGCAATGGTAGGATTATCATACCTTCTGTATGAAGGCAAAGGTAGGATTATCATACCTTCTGTATGAGGGCAAAGGTAGGATTATCATAACTTATGTATGAAGGTAAAGATAGGATTATCATACCTTGTGTATGAGGGCAAAGGTAGGATTATCAACCTTCAGTATGAGAGTAAATGTAGGATTATCATACCTTCTGTATGAGGGCAAAGGCAGGATTATCATACCTTCTGTATGAGGGCTAAGGTAGGATTATCATACCTTCTGTATGAGGGCAAAGGTAGGATTATCATACCTTCTATATGAAGGCAAAGGTAGGATTATCATACCTTCTATATGAAGGCAAAGGTAGGATTATCATACCTTCTGTATGAAGGCAAAGGTAAGCTTATTATACCTTCTGTATGAGGCAAAGGTAGGATTATCATACCTTCTGTATGAGGGCAATGGTAGGATTATCATACCTTCTGTATGAAGGCAAAGGTAGGATTATCATACCTTCTGTATGAAGGCAATGGTAGGATTATCATACCTTCTGTATGAGGCAAAGGTAGGATTATCATACCTTCTGTATGAGGGCAAAGGTAGGATTATCATACCTTCTGTATGAAGGCAAAGGAAGGATTATCATACCTTCTGTATGAGGGCAAATGTAGGATTATCATACCTTCTGTATGAGGGCAAAGGTAGGATTATCATACCTTCTATATGAAGGCAAAGGTAGGGCATACCTTCTGTATGAGGGCAAAGGTAGGATTATCATACCTCCTGTATGAGGGCAAAGGTAGGATTATCATACCTTGTGTATGAGGGCAAAGGTATGACGAATTATCATACCTTCTGTATGAGGGCAAAGGTACGATTATCATACCTTCTGTATGAAGGCAAAGGTAGGATTATCATACCTTCTGTATGAGGGCAAAGGTAGGATTATCATACCTTCTGTATGAGGGCAAAGGTAGGATTATCATACCTTCTGTATGAGGGCAAAGGTAGGATTATCATACCTTCTATATAAGGGCAAAGGTAGGATTATCATACCTTCTGTATGAAGGCAAAGGTAGGATTATCATACCTTCTATATGAAGACAATGGTAGGATTATCATACCTTCTGTATGAAGGCAAAGGTTATCATACCTTCTGTATGAAGGCAAAGGTAGGATTATCATACCTTCTGTATGAGGGCAAAGGTAGGGTCATACCTTGTGTATGATTATCATACCTTCTGTATGAGGGCAAAGGTAAGATTATCATACCTTCTGTATGAAGGCAAAGGTAGGATTATCATACCTTGTGTATGAAGGCAAAGGTAGGATTATCATACCTTCTGTATGAGGGCAAAGGTAGGATTATTATACCTTGTGTATGAAGGCAAAAGTAGGATTATCATACCTTCTGTATGAGGGTAAATGTAGGATTATCATACCTTCTGTATGAGGGCAATGGTAGGATTATCATACCTTCTGTATGAGGGCAAAGGTACGATTATCATACCTTCTGTATGAGGGCAATGGTAGGATTATCATACCTTCTTTATGATGGAAGTGGTAGGATTATTATACCTTCTGTATGAGGGCAAAGGTAGGATTATTATACCTTGTGTATGAGGGCAAAGGTACGATTATCATACCTTCTGTATGAAGGCAAAGGTATGATTATCATACCTTCTGTATGAGGCAAAGGTAGGATTATCATACCTTCTGTATGAGGGCAAAGGTATGACGAATTATCATACCTTCTGTATGAGGGCAAAGGTAAGATTATCATACCTTCTGTATGAAGGCAAAGGTAGGATTATCATACCTTGTGTATGAAGGCAAAGGTAGGATTATCATACCTTCTGTATGAGGGCAAAGGTAGGATTATCATACCTGGTAGGATTATCATACCTTCTGTATGAAGGCAAAGGTAGGATTATCATACCTTCTGTATGAGGGCAAAGGTAGGATTATCATACCTTCTATATGAAGGCAAAGGTAGGATTATCATACCTTGTGTACAAAGGCAAAAGGAGGATTATCATACCTTCTGTATGAGGGCAAAGATAGAATTATCATACCTTCTGTATGAGGGCAAAGGTAAGATTGTCATACCTTCTGTATGAGGGCAAAGGTAGGATTATCATACCTTCTGTATGAGGGCTAAGGTAGGATTATCATACCTTCTGTATGAGGGCTAAGGTAGGATTATCATACCTTCTGTATGAGGGCAAAGGTAGGATTATCATACCTTCTGTATGAGGGCAAAGGTAGGGTTAACATACCTTCTGTATGAATGCAAATGTGGGATTATCAACCTTCTGTATGAGAGCAAAGGTAGGATTATTGAGGGCAAAGGTAGGATTAACATACCTTCTGTATGAATGCAAATGTGGGATTATCAACCTTCTGTATGAGAGCAAAGGTAGGATTATCATACCTTCTGTATGAATGCAAATGTAGGATTATCATACCTTCTGTATGAGGGCAAAGGTAGGATTATCATACCTCCTGTATGAGGGCAAAGGTAGGATTATCATACCTTGTGTATGAAGGCAAAGGTAGGATTATCATACCTTCTGTATGAGGGCAAAGGTAGGATTATTATACCTTATGTATGAAGGCAAAGGTAGGATTATCATACCTTCTGTATGAGGGCAATGGTAGGATTATCATACCTTCTGTATGAGGGCAAAGGTAGGATTTTCATACCTTCTGTATAAAGGCAAATGTAGGATTATCATACCTTCTGCATGAAGGCAATGGTAGGATTATCATACCTTCTGTATGAAGGCAATGGTAGGGTTATCATACCTTCTGTATAAGGGCAAAAGTAAGATTATCATACCTTGTGTATGAGGGATAAGGTAGGATTATCATACCTTGTGTATGAGGGCTAAGGTAGGATTATCATACCTTCTGTATGAGGGCTAAGGTAGGATTATCATACCTTCTGTATGAGGGCTAAGGTAGGATTATCATACCTTCTGTATGAGGGCTAAGGTAGGATTATCATACCTTCTGTATGAGGGCTAAGGTAGGATTATCATACCTTCTGTATGAGGGCTAAGGTAGGATTATCATACCTTCTGTATGAGGGCTAAGGTAGGATTATCATACCTTCTGTATGAGGGCTAAGGTAGGATTATCATACCTTCTGTATGAGGGCTAAGGTAGGATTATCATACCTTCTGTATGAGGGCTAAGGTAGGATTATCATACCTTCTGTATAAGGGCAAATGTAGGATTATCATACCTTAGAAGAAGAAATGGAAGAATTAAGACAATTGATTTATATTAATTATCTAAAACTGTTACAGTTTTCTTCAGTGAACCAGAAAATTTTCAATTTCTATTCACTAAACAGAGACTCTTTATACATATGTAACAGAATATGTTATAAAGACTGCTGTTCATTGTGAAACAATTTACATTTAGCTCATGATATATACTTGGTAACACTACTTTTATCTCTTTTTTTTTGTCACAAGAAAGTCCTGAAAATATTTTATTGAACATGATATAATAATGTTTCATTCACAGTGACATATATTAAGTACTAAACGCAGTGTGAAATGTCCAGCCACCACATAGAATCTTACCTGTAAGCACTCTTTATCTCCACAGCCACATGTAGCGTGTAGAATCTTACCTGTAAGCACTCTTTGTCTCCACTGGCACATGTAGCTTGTAGAATCTTACCTGTAAGCACTTTTTGTCTCCACAGCCACATGTAGCTTGTAGAATCTTACCTGTAAGCACTCTTTATCTCCACTGGCACATGTAGCTTGTAAAATCTTACCTGTAAGCACTCTTTGTCTCCACAGCCACATGTAGCTTGTAGAATCTTACCTGTAAGCACTCTTTGTCTCCACAGCCACATGTAGCTTGTAGAATCTTACCTGTAAGCACTCTTTGTCTCCACTGGCACATGTAGCTTGTAGAATCTTACCTGTAAGCACTCTTTGTCTCCACAGCCACATGTAGCTTGTAGAATCTTACCTGTAAGCACTCTTTGTCTCCACTGGCACATGTAGCTTGTAGAATCTTACCTGTAAGCATTCTTTGTCTCCACTGGCACATGTAGCTTGTAGAATCTTACCTGCAAGCACTCTTTGTTTCTGCTTGTATAGTTGCTAAAAAATAGCCAGGAAAAGTTATAAATAAGGGTTATAGATATAAAGTATTTTGAATTGTTTTATAAATGATTGATTTTCAGATTATTCAAAAAGCCCTATGTAATACTCTCACTTTATAAACAAGGACCTGCATCAGCAAAATCCTATACAAATCATGCAAAATCATATACACATGGAAATCACAAGGCGGCATCATAATCTTGTCAATTGAAAATCATCCTGTTAGTATACCAAACGGACCCAAAATGTTTACAATTATATGATTATAGAACTTTAAGATTTTAAATGCACGATTTTGATATCTAAAGGCAAACAATTATCATCCAACACATGTCCTACTATAACAATTATCATCCAACACATGTCCTATTATAACAATTATCATCCACATCCAACACATGTCCTACTATAACAATTATCATCAAACACATGTCCTACTATAACAATTATCATCCAACACATGTCCTACTATAACAATTATCATCCAACACATGTCCTATTATAACAATTATCATCCACATCCAACACATGTCCTACTATAACAATTATCATCAAACACATGTCCTACTATAACAATTATCATCCAACACATGTCCTACTATAACAATTATCCTCCACATCCAACACATGTCCTACTATAACAATTATCATCCAACACATGTCCTACTATAACAATTATCATCCAACACATGTCCTACTATAACAATTATCATCCAACACATGTCCTACTATAAGAATTATCATCCACATCCAACACATGTCCTACTATAACAATTATCATCAAACACATGTCCTACTATAACAATTATCATCCAACACATGTCCTACTATAACAATTATCATCCAACACATGTCCTACTATAACAATTATCATCCAACACATGTCCTATTATAACAATTATCATCCAACACATGTCCTACTATAACAATTATCATCCAACACATGTCCTACTATCACAATTATCATCAAACACATGTCCTACTATAACAATTATCATCCACATCCAACACATGTCCTACTATAACAATTATCATCCAACACATGTCCTACTATCACAATTATCATCCAACACATGTCCTATTATAACAATTATCATCCAACACATGTCCTATTATAACAATTATCATCCAACACATGTCCTATTATAACAATTATCATCCACATCCAACACATGTCCTACTATAACAATTATCATCCAACACATGTCCTACTATAACAATTATCATCCACATCCAACACATGTCCTACTATAACAATTATCATCCAACACATGTCCTACTATAACAATTATCATCCAACACATGACCTACTATAACAATTAACAATTATCATCCAACACATGTCCTACTATAACAATTATCATCCAACACATGTCCTACTATAACAATTATCATCCAACACATGTCCTACTATAACAATTATCATCCACATCCAACACATGTCCTACTATAACAATTATCATCCAACACATGTCCTACTATAACAATTATCATCCAACACATGTCCTACTATAACAATTATCATCCAACACATGTCCTACTATAACAATTATCATCCAACCAACACATGTCCTACTATAACAATTATCATCCAACACATGTCCTACTATAACAATTATCATCCAACACATGTCCTACTATAACAATTATCATCCAACACATGTCCTACTATAACAATTATCATCCAACACATGTCCTACTATAACAATTATCATCCAACACATGTCCTACTATAACAATTATCATCCAACACACACATGTGTCCTACTATAACAATTATCATCCAACACATGTCCTACTATAACAATTATCATCCAACACATGTCCTACTATAACAATTATCATCCACATCCAACACATGTCCTACTATAACAATTATCATCCAACACATGTCCTACTATAACAATTATCATCCAACACATGTCCTACTATAACAATTATCATCCAACACATGTCCTACTATAACAATTATCATCCAACACATGTCCTACCTACTGTCCTACTTTACAATTATCATCCAACACATGTCCTACTATAACAATTATCATCCAACACATGTCCTACTATAACAATTATCATCCAACACATGTCCTACTATAACAATTATCATCCAACACATGTCCTACTATAACAATTATCATCCACATCCAACACATGTCCTACTATAACAATTATCATCCAACACATGTCCTACTATAACAATTATCATCCAACACATGTCCTACTATCACAATTATCATCAAACACATGTCCTATTATAACAATTATCATCCACATCCAACACATGTCCTACTATGACAATTATCATCCAACACATGTCCTATTATAACAATTATCATCCACATCCAACACATGTCGTACTATAATAATTATCATCCAACACATGTCCTAACACATGCCCTACTATAACAATTATCATCCAACACATGTCCTACTATAACAATTATCATCCAACACATGTCCTACTATAACAATTATCATCCAACACATGTCCTATTATAACAATTATCATCCACATCCAACACATGTCCTACTATAACAATTATCATCCAACACATGTCCTACTATAACAATTATCATCCACATCCAACACATGTCCTACTATAATAAACACATGTCCTACTATAACAATTATCATTATCAATTATCCAACACATGTCCTACTATAACAATTATCATCCACATCCAACACATGTCCTACTATAACAATTATCATCCAACACATGTCCTACTTATCATCCACACATGTCCTATTCCTACTATAACCAACACATGTCCTACTATAACAATTATCCAACACATGTCCTACTATCACAATTATCATCCAACACATGTCCTACTATAACAATTATCATCCAACACATGTCCTACTATAACAATTATCATCCAACACATGTCCTACTATAACAATTATCATCCACATCCAACACATGACCTACAATAACAATTATCATCCACATCCAACACATGTCCTACTATAACAATTATCATCCAACACATGACCTACTATAACAATTATCATCCAACACATGACCTACTATAACAATTATCATCCACATCCAACACATGACCTACTATAACAATTATCATCCAACACATGTCCTACTATAACAATTATCATCCAACACATGACCTACTATAACAATTATCATCCAACACATGTCCTACTATAACAATTATCATCCAACACATGTCCTACTATAACAATTATCATCCAACACATGCCCTACTGTTACAATTATCATCCAAAACATGTCCTACTATAACAATTATCATCCAACACATGTCCTACTATAACAATTATCATCCAACACATGTCCTACTATAACAATTATCATCCAACACATGTCCTACTATAACAATTATCATCCAACACATGCCCTACTATAACAATTATCATCCAACACATGCCCTACTATAACAATTATCATCCAACACATGTACTACAATTATCAAACACATTATCATAACAATTATCATCCAACACATGACCTACTATAACATCCAACACATGTCCTACTATAACAATTATCATCCACATCCAACACATGTCCTACTATAACAATTATCATCCAACACATGTCTTACTATAAGAATTATCATCCACATCCAACACATGCCCTACTATAACAATTATCATCCAACACATGCCCTACTGTTACAATTAAAACAAAAATAAAGAATCTTTATCAGAGATGTATTTCATACCTCCTTTTTCCTTCCGTTTTCTTGGAGGCAGTTCTGGCGGGGGACTGGATTGTTCTGCAGTGACAGTCACAGATGATGTCTGTTGTGTCTCCCGTTTCCTCTGAAAATCAATAAACACATTACATATATTGCTTTACAACAAATCTTGATTGACTAAAATAGTGTTTCTCTGATGTCTATAGACACATACCAGACTCACTGTCATTTATCTGTAGATTGGTCACATACCAGACTCATTGTCATTTATCTATAGACTGGTCACATACCAGACTCAATGTCATTTATATAGAGACTGGTCACATATCAGACTCATTGTCATTTATCTATGGACTGGTCACATACCAGACTCAATGTCATTTATATAAAGACTGGTCACATATCAGACTCATTGTCATTTATCTATAGACTGGTCACATACCAGACTCAATGTCATTCATCTATAGACTGGTCACATATCAGACTCAATGTCATTTATCTATAGGCTGGTCACATATCAGACTCAATGTCATTTATCTATAGGCTGGTCACATGCCAGACTCAATGTCATTTATCTACAGGCTGGTCACATACCAGACTCAACATCATTTATCTATGGACTGGTCACATACCAGACTCAATGTCATTTATCTATAGGCTGGTCACAAACCAGACTCATTGTCATTTATCTATAGACTTGTCACATGTCAGACTCAATGTCATTTATCTATAGCCTGGTCACATACCAGATTCAATGTCATTTATCTATAGACTAGTCACATATCAGACTCATTGTCATTTATCTATGGACTGGTCACATACCAGACTCAATGTCATTTATCTATAGACTAGTCACATATCAGACTCATTGTCATTTATCTATGGACTGGTCACATACCAGACTCAATGTCATTTATCTATAGACTAGTCACATATCAGACTCATTGTCATTTATCTATGGACTGGTCACATACCAGACTCAATGTCATTTATCTATAGACTAGTCACATATCAGACTCATTGTCATTTATCTATGGACTGGTCACATACCAGACTCAATGTCATTTATCTATAGACTTGTCACATGCCAGACTCAATGTCATTTATCTATAGCCTGGTCACATACCAGATTCAATGTCATTTATCTATAGACTAGTCACATATCAGACTCATTGTCATTTATCTATGGACTTGTCACATGCCAGACTCAATGTCATTTATCTATAGACTTGTCACATGCCAGACTCAATGTCATTTATCTATAGCCTGGTCACATACCAGATTCAATGTCATTTATCTATAGACTAGTCACATATCAGACTCATTGTCATTTATCTATGGACTTGTCACATGCCAGACTCAATGTCATTTATCTATAGACTAGTCACATATCAGACTCAATGTCATTTATCTATAGACTAGTCACATACCAGACTCATTGAGCCTGTATCACTAGCCTATTTTACAGCTTATGAAGTAATCTGAATCTTACACATCAAATATTATACCAGGCAATCTTGAAAGTTCAGAAAATTTAGTTAAAATATCTTTTTATATCAATGACCTGTAAACTGGGTCAAGGTCAATCATATGAACACCCTAACTACATCAGAAACAAGTAAAATCAAAGAGTACCAGTATATAAAAGGACAAATAGTAAATATGAGAAACCTGTAAATCACTGATTGTGTTATGGAGTTTCTGTATGGCTGCCTCAATGTCTTTTTCCACTGTGCCACAAACAATCAAATTCGTTTCGTGGATTGTCTTAGTGGAGTTTCCAGCAGAAATAGTCTCCTTAGTGTTACTCCTACTCTTAACACCTCCAGTAGCTCCTAAAGTATCTTCACCTGGACATATGTAAGTATAAAATCAGTATTTGATATAATAATGTAAATTCTTCTTCTAATCATCTATTAAACATGGCATTATGAATTTCACTTCAAAAGAAATCAATGTAATTTAACTAAGACGGTAAGATATGACACCAATATCAACTTTGGGTAATATACAACAGGTTTTAAGTCTTGCATTCTAAAAGACAGGTGAAGCACAACCACCTTGTTCTAATTCGTCATATAACAGACTCATTCAGCAAAGCTATGTTGTCCTCTTTGTCCTAACAGATTCACTCAACACAGCTATGTTGTCCTCTTGTCCTGACTGACCTATTCAACACAGCTATGTTGTCCTCTTTCTCCTAACAGACTCACTAAACACAACTATGTTGACCTCTTTGTCCAAACAGACTCACTTAACACAGCTATGTTGACCTCTTTCTCCTAACAGACTCACTAAACACAAATATGTTGACCTCTTTGTCCAAACAGACTCACTTAACACAACTATGTTGACCTCTTTGTCCAAACAGACTCACTTAACACAGCTATGTTCACCTCTTTGTCCTAACAGACTCACTAAACACCACTATGTTGTCATCTTTGTCCTAACAGACTCACTAAACACAACTATGTTGTCATCTTTGTCCTAACAGACTCACTAAACACAACTATGTTGTCATCTATGTCCTAACAGACTCACTAAACACAACTATGTTGTCATCTTTGTCCTAACAGACTCACTAAACACAACTATGTTGTCATCTATGTCCTAACAGACTCACTAAACACAGCTATGTTGACCTCTTTGTCCTAACAGACTCACTAAACACAGCTATGTTGTCCTCTTTGTCCAAACAGACTCACTAAACACAGCTATGTTGTCCTCTTTGTCCAAACAGACTCACTAAACACAGCTATGTTGTCCTCTTTGTCCAAACAGACTCACTAAACACAGCTATGTTGTCCTCTTTGTCCTAACAGACTCACTAAACACAACTATGTTCACCTCTTTGTCCTAACAGACTCACTAAACACAGCTATGTTGTCATCTTTGTCCTAACAGACTCACTAAAAACAACTATGTTGTCCTCTCTATCCTAACAGACTCAGACTCAACAGTGGTTGTCACGATAGGATGTAAGTATATACAGCTATACAGCCCAATGGTACATTAAATTACAAAAAACAAATACCATCATACCTGTCATAATATCTTTTCCCACAAGTTTGTCAACAAACTCGGACTTTACATGTGATTCCATGGTCTTGTATATATCTACTGAATCAAAAACTATCTGTACACTCCTCAAGGTCTTGTTCCCTCCAGTAAATTGTTTTAATGCATCATGGAATTGATGCATAACCTTGACTTTCAATTGTGTCAGTGATTCTGTTAAGAAAACAAGATAGATCTTAGATTGAATAGTAATAGGACAAAGTAAGTAATGTACAATATGAAATCTTCATACCTTCTTTTGTGGTTTAATCCTAATACATATAAAACATTTCATGTTCATTTGTAAAATATATACATTTAAAGTGAGCAACATAGAAAACTAAAGTATTGAAACCATTTCTTGTTATGTTCAGTTTAAGGTTCAATTGAAAGTGATCAATGTGATAACAGTTTAGTAGCATAATAGTGTGAATATTAAAAACAGTTTTTCATTTGTTTAAAAGCCCTTCTGTTACCCAATGGTAATGATAGAATATTTGTCACTTTCAGTGATGCTGGATCAATCAATGATAATTACCACTCACGTATGACAAAACTGTGAAACCTTGATACACATTAATAAAATACAATACAGCAACTCACAATCAGATATGTAAAAATGCAAGAAAGTTACTATCACTAAAATAATTCATAACCAGTGATAGTGCAACAACACTTGGAACATTAGACTTTTAAAAATATTATGGAGATTCACCATCATAGGTTTATTAGGGCTTTTTACCATTAATTAAATGACCCATTGTAATTGTTCTGTTTCTTATTATTATTTTTAATCATCTGCCGTGATTTTGTGGCGTCGAAATTTCTGAATCGGTAAGAGATATGTTTATAGTCTTTTAAAGGTCTCTTATTTTTACTTCAGAAGATATCCTGTGCAAGCAATCAGCCATTCAGGTCTCAGCTGTCTCATTAGATATTCTGGAAATTAGCCGATAATCAACCTTAAGAGAGTGGTTTAGGTACTTTCATGGAATTAGCCTACAATCAAACTGAAGAGAGTGGTTAAGGTACTAAGTCTGCTAAGCAAGTCTGATAAAAAATAAATTATTCCTTTGAAATAAGTGTGGAAAGCAATCCTCAAAACTGTTTCAAGAATCCAGCCAATCAGGTAAGAGCACCATGATTAAATATGCATGGAATTCACAGGTGATCAAATTTGAGTTAGGAGACTATGTCAAGTCTACTGAGCAAGTCTCATCATAATTCATTTGTTCCTTCAAAAGATAACATGCGGAAAGCATTCTGTAAGGGTGCTGAAAGATAACATGCGGAAAGCATTCTGTAAGGGTGCTGAAAGATAACATGCGGAAAGCATTCTGTAAGGGTGCTGAAAGATAACATGCATTCTGGGGTGCTGAAAGCATTCTGTTCTGTAAGGGTGCTGAAAGATAACATGCGGAAAGCATTCTGTAAGGGTGCTGAAAGATAACATGCGGAAAGCATTCTGTAAGGGTGCTGAAAGATAACATGCGGAAAGCATTCTGTAAGGGTGCTGAAAGATGCGGAAAGCATGCGGAAAGCATTCTGTAAGGGTGCTGAAAGATAACATGCGGAAAGCATTCTGTAAGGGTGCTGAAAGATAACATGCGGAAAGCATTCTGTAAGGGTGCTGAAAGATAACATGCGGAAAGCATTCTGTAAGGGTGCTGAAAGATAACATGCGGAAAGCATTCTGTAAGGGTGCTGAAAGATAACATGCGGAAAGCATTCTGTAAGGGTGCTGAAAGATAACATGCGGAAAGCATTCTGTAAGGGTGCTGAAAGATAACAAAGATAACATGCGGAAAGCATTCTGTAAGGGTGCTGAAAGATAACATGCGGAAAGCATTCTGTAAGGGTGCTGAAAGATAACATGCGGAAAGCATTCTGTAAGGGTGCTGAAAGATAACATGCGGAAAGCATTCTGTAAGGGTGCTGAAAGATAACATGCGGAAAGCATTCTGTAAGGGTGCTGAAAGATAACATGCGGAAAGCATTCTGTAAGGGTGCTGAAAGCTAACATGCGGAAAGCATTCTGTAAGGGTGCTGAAAGATAACATGCGGAAAGCATTCTGTAACATGCGGAAAGCATTCTGTAAGGGTGCTGAAAGATAACATGCGGAAAGCATTCTGTAAGGGTGCTGAAAGATAACATGCGGAAAGCATTCTGTAAGGGTGCTGAAAGATAACATGCGGAAAGCATTCTGTAAGGGTGCTGAAAGATAACATGCGGAAAGCATTCTGTAAGGGTGCTGAAAGATAACAGTCAATTAGGTCAAGTAGCCTCATGAAATATGGACAGAATTTGCCAATAATCAAACTTGAACAAGAGGTTAAGGTAACAAGTCTACCAAGCAAGTTTCATCATAATTCATTTGTTCCTTTAAAAATTATCGTGCAGAAAGCATACTGTGAGAGTGCTGAAATATGAGCCAATTAGGTCACACATTGAATTTGCTGATAATTGAACCTGAACAAGGAATTAAGGTAATAAGTCTACAAAGCAAGTTTCCATAATTTCTTCATAAAATAATATGTAGACAACATTCTCATAGAGTGATTAAAGAAATCAGTCAATCAGGTCACAGCTGCCTCATTAAATATGTGTGGAATTCACCTTTAATCAAACCTGGGCAAGGTATTAAAGTAACAAGTGCACCAACCAAGTTTCATCAAAATCTGACCAGTCCTTCAAAAGATATCCAGATGGACGGAAGGATGGATGGACGGAAGGATGGATGGACAGAACCCATTTAAATATCCCCCGCCAACTTTGTTGAAAGGGGGGGTAAAAACTTTACATAACATTAATAAACACATAATCCTTTCATCTAAAGTCTCTTTCCTCCATTTTATTTGTGTGGTTATAGCCAAGAAAATAACAAAAGTTTTCTAAACAAAGACCATTTGATATAGGAGTAAGTATGATGGTTAACCTTGTTCTTTTCCAGCTTTCAAACAAAAATGGCAATTATGAACCTGTTTCAGTCTTTTGTTGTATTTAATATATAAGTCTATTAAACAGTGAGTTTAAATTTGAAAAAAAAATCAGATTTCCTTTAGGACTTGGCTCAAAAATCATTTTTTTAGAACCAGTGATATTATGTTCATTATTACACGAAAGGCTGACGGTCCTAAACCTTCGCCTGAGTTTTAATATACTAATGCAAATTATGCTGTCTACACACATAGTTGTGGTATCACACTACAGACTTTAACTTTGTGTACTCATCATTCATACATCACCTGCACATCCTCCACACATGATAAGATTATCTAGAGCACAACTGTGTGATAGGATCACATAATTTGTGTGGTTTGGTAAAAATGGTTGAATAACGTTACAGATTGAAAATTAACTGAAAAACTGTTATAGTTTTGATAAAAGTTATATTAAATGCCATTTGTTATTCAAAAGTTACTACCAGACCCTCATTAATTAGGCAACCAAGAGTATATATAGTTCCATATCTCAGTAGGTGGCCAGTGGTGTGCCCTGGGCAACAGAACATATACAGATATATATACTACAAGGCCATATCAGCTAGGTCTCTGGTGTAACAAACACAACACTATCAATACACCTGTATATACTGTTTTCTTACAAAACGACAGAAAAATGAGAGTTACACAGCACTGTATATAAAATTTCCTTTCTGACTGTATGAGATTTCAAATGATACATTGCTAAGACAAAAAGAGACCTCTATTTAATATCTATATGTATATAATGTATATATAATGAGTGTCCATTTCAGGTGTGGCACTTTGTAAACAAAATGCTTTGAATTATCAGTGTATATAACTATTCAGACTGTACCTGATAAATCTGCATTGAGCTTGAGAGAAATTAATTCGGAAATCACTGGTGCTCTTATCTATTTAGAAAATAATTGAACTCTATCCTACACATATCCATCAGTCATTTCTCAATTTATATAGATAGAATCACATTTGTGTGATAGAACTGCACATTTGTGTGATAGAACTGCACATCTGTGTGATAGAACTGCACAACATGCACACAGATGTGTGATAACAAGTTCTGTCCGGTTTTGCTTTGTACAGTCACATTGTTCATACATTGTGTGCACGTTGTGTAAAATTGTGTGATCCAGCGACAATACTAACAATCAACTTCGAGCAACATTTCTTTATCAGGCTGCACAGTTGGGGTCTTCACCCAAGTTCCATACCATCAAACTGCTATCTGATGGAAGTAATTTGATCTAGATCTGTCATCCTGAGAATAACTTATACTCCCCAAGGATGCATAAATTAACACATCAGTTGTTCTCATTTCTCTCCCACTGACCTCAACACTAGATGAATGACCTTGAATTTTGCCTTTACCATTTTAAAGCTGAGTCAGTGACCTCTGTGACCTCAGGATAAGGTACACATGGTTCCACGCACTCTAATCTTGGCAGTTTGTGTTTCTCAAGAAGCTGAGAAATAAGGTGGTCTTTGCTGGATTTTTTAGATAACCTTAGTCATAGCTGCTACAAGGAGATCCCAACACTAATGACATTTGTCATTCATGGAACTATAAACCCATCAAACAAAGTCATAACCCTAAAGGGCAATGGATGACCCTAAAGGGCAATGGATGGCACAGGTGTTATAAACTTTACAATTTTGATAAAACAACCTGAAGCTTTACACTCTTGGAAAGTTTTCAATACTACATTTTGTACAGTATATTATGTATCTAGGTCTAGAGAAGAAGTCATTTAACATATAAGCAAATTTTTCCACATTTAGTCTTACCCTTGGACCATTCTAATAAAAAATACAAGTCTAGTACATCATTAAAACTTTTCTGCAAAATTTGTTTTACAGAAAAAAGTTAGAAATGTGACAATGTTACTGTCACGGATGATGGACAATGAAAGATCAATATAAGACAAAGTGTCACACAAAAATTAAGCAATGGCAATCTTTCATGTTCCCCTACCTCTTCCTCATCTTTATCTTCTGATCTAAATCTATTTGATTAAAATCTATTAAAGTGTTATGAGATATCTTTTACACAAGTCTGTTAATTCAATATGGTCAACAGTGTAATCTTTAACCTTGTCTGATGACCATCAAAATCTAATCTTGTAATTAAGGTGTGAATATGACCTAAAATGGTTGAGTTCATGAGCTATCTTATACACATGTTTTTTCTCAAATGTTGTCAAAGGTGATCTTTGACCTTTAACCATACATTTGACCAATGACTAAAATCTAATGAGATGTAGATCTTGGTGGGGTACTACTATGATGAGAATATGAACTTAAGATCTATCAATGGTTTCATGCAATATCTTGAACACAGGGTTATCACTGATGCAAGCATGCTTATCTTCTACCTCTACCCCCAAGTAATTGACTAGAAGGGAGAGGAGATGTAAAACAGGTCACTGAGCTTTGCCCTATCTGTCAGAATTATAATGACCTAATGCAATGAGTTTTTATGAAAGACCTTATTTCATCAAATAAAAAGTAGATGTACCTAAAGACAAAATAAGATATAAATCTGAATTTATTTCTTTTTGTCCATATTGAATTATTTGCAGTTCTCTGAGTTAAAAACAGCTTGTTAGAGTTTTATGACTAAGAAGCCCATCCTGTTGATATTGTTATTTACCTTTCTTGCCAAGAGATAAGGCAACAGAAGTGAACTTGCCATCATCAGCCTCATTCAAGGCTGACATCACCATTTCTAACTGGATATCCTCCTTGATAAAACAATGAATCACCGATTTAAAAGGGAGAGACCCAGCATTTGTCACACATGGCACTCTGTTTTTCATCAAATCTGCACCTGTTGAAAAAGTGTGAAAATAAAAAGAAATGAAAAAGTGATTCCATGCTAATTTTTTTACTTCATTAAAACACACTGACAGTTTAACAGTTTTCCACTTAAGTTTTACTATCCTGTTCAAGAAAACAAGCTTACAGTTAGTGTTGCATGCAACACATGTCCCCTGCCGTAAATTACTGTATTTATCAGCAAATAAGCCCAAGTCCACTTATAAGCCCACCAATGTTCTGTTGTAAAGCAAATGGAAGCAAATGCTACTTAACTGTTTGCAATAAGCTAACCCTTTACTATGGATCCGAGTTTATATGTTGGCCCCATGATGTAATTGCAGTATAAATACATTATTTTTTCAAGTAATGTAGAACTGTTTCTGTATCAGAAGTGTCTTGTTTTATTATTTATAAAACAACAATTCTTACTCTGTTTTAAAAGACTGACTATAAAATGAGTAGACGATTATGAGAACAAGCTTACAGTTAGTGTTGCATGCAACACATGTCCCCTGCCGTAAGTTGCTGTATTTATCAGCAAATAAGCCCATGTCCACTAATAAGCCCACCAATGTTCTGTTGTAAAGCAAATGGGAGCAAATGCTACTTAACTGTTTGCAATAAGCTAACCCTTTACTATGGATCCGAGTTTATATGTTGGCCCCATGATCTAATTGCAGTATAAATACATTATTTTTTCAAGTAATGTAGAACTTGTTCTGTATCAGAAGTGTCTTGTTTTATTATTTATAAACTTCCAGTGTATCAAGTTTCAACCAAATCCATCAATCCGTTCTCAAATTATTGTCTGAAAACTAAATTGTGACAAGATTCTATTTTTAGTAACAGTTGCCTTTGTAGTTGATCTTTTGACCCCAAACAAAATTCCACACTATATTGCCTTATAAACTACCATTGTATGACGTTTCACCGGCAGGGGACGAATAAGTTAGCAGGGAATTACAAAGATAGCTTATAGACTAGTATTTATTTTTTCAAGTGTCTTGATATTTTTTGACCTTCAATATATACAGAGGCTGTTGGCCATCTAATTCTAATAATTAGACAGATAAATTAAATAATGGAAATAAGTACTGTGGTTTGGTTAGAAATTATGAAAGACAAAACCACTTTGTATCAGCAACATCTAGTTTTTGCATTCAGTGTCTAAAATATAAACACAAATCTAAAGATGTTTTCTTTAGTGGAATATATGTTATATTTCAAAGATTTAACATCTTTTAAAACCTACGTTTCTGCACCAATTCCCTGACTCCTCTTGGATTTACACTTTCATTGAAGTAGGAATATGTCCATGGTTCCTCTGAAATGAAAAATGAAGTTGCACTCAGTATTGGGTTGCTATAATAAATCGTGGTGAATGCCATTTTGCAAGATGTCCTAAATCTTTTGATCACCAGAGTAACCCAAAGATCTCCTCTATAAGGCCACCGGTGTATTCAAAACAGAAGGTTTTTAACATTTTCACTACGCAAATACAAGTATAAACGAGTCAATAAAACCAGTGATAGAAATCCTCCTGTATATCAGACAATCTAGCTGTAAATACCTAGAGCAAGCATTTCAAAAACTATCTATCATGGGCTTGCTTTAAAAATAGAAATGGATGCATAACCAAGCAAAGAAAAACAAAGTATTCAAGTACAGGAATGAGGAAGTCACATGTGACATTTATTTCACATTCAAAACCTCAAATTTGTTAAACATTTAATGTACTATTCATATGTAAACAGACAATTTAATTTGAATTAAAACATATGGTGTCAATTTTGACTTCAGATCAAACCGAAATTGTTTGCTAAAACCAACTGATCATCAAAAATCAATACACAGATATACCAGACTTTGTAAACTATTCCAGAGACATATATCAATGTTACTGCATATAAAACAGTGATATATCATAACTTCCTACTGAAGAGCGAAGCAGAATCCCAGAAGATAAGGAGGCAATCAGCATTTGAATTGACAATCGATCCAAAGGTCAGCCAGAGGTCAATGGCACCATACTGCAGCTGCAGACTGTTTTCTCCTGACAAAGGTAGTACTGGCATAGCACCTGTGGCTGTAATAAATCCCAAAATAAAGATTTCTTAATAAGCAGATTTAACAAAGTCCCATACTGTGTTGATAACATCATTACTATATTAAAAATGTGTTCCATAATCACAGTTTATTAATATCTGACTAGACACTACAGGTTAAAACGAAACATCTGGCTACAAAGCCTTACCGCATGGGACACAGTTATAACATTCACACTACTTTCGCCAAAATTCCCACTAATGATGTGTTTTTTAAAGATGGCTGATGGGATTAGTAATGGTTCAGTCAGAATCATTACATAGTAATCATGTACCAGTTTGGGTGGTCGAGTGGCACAGTGGTAACACATTCACCATTCACCTAGCTGACCTGGGTTCGATTCCCGGAACAGACGTGAAAAGGTAAGGGGTCACCTGCCTGACCATGTGGGCTTTCCCCGCGTACTCTGGTTTCCTCCCACAATAAGACCCCTCGAACACTTACATCCAGGCCAACAAAAGTGATTTGTAAAAGCTGACATAACTTGTTTCGCAATTGTTGTAAAATAAATAAAATTTATATTTTATATACTGTACCAGTTAGTAACTGTTAAGTGGATCAACATTTAGTGATATAGTGATATAGTGTACCAGACATAGTGATCATGTACCAGTTAGTAACTGTTAAGTGGATCAACATTTAGTGATATAGTGTACCAGACATAGTGATCATGTACCAGTTAGTAACTGTTAAGTGGATCAACATTTAGTGATATAGTGATATAGTGTACCAGACATAGTGATCATGTACCAATTAGTAACTGTTAAGTGGATCAACATTTAGTGATATAGTGTACCAGACATAGTGATCATGTACCAGTTAGTAACTGTTAAGTGGAAAAATATATAAAGCCAGTTATCCTAACCATCATTGGGTACTGCCCCTAGAGCCCGAGAAGGTCATATTTCCATCAATTCCTGCTATACAAAACATAAACTTTCCCTAATGAATAGTTTCAGATCAAATCTGATTAAATACCATACAATCCTTCAGCAGTATGAATAGAATTTGAAGCAGAATGTATTTTCTCAATTTCCCTTATTTGGCCAAACTGTCTTGTAATAGCAATTTCATTTACACAAAATATGTTCATCTTGTCCAAGTGCCTTTAGACAAAACGTAAACATTAAGGAGACACCGTTATTTACCTGAGTGATATTTTAGACCAAATCTAGTTTCAGATTGCAATTAAGAAGGATGATGAGTGGATAGCAACAGCCAAATTTCTTCTAGCAGAGATTCCCCTTAACTTGTCTTCAGCCTAGGGTCGAGATCCCCCTCCCTAACTTGTCTTCAGCCTTGGGTCGAGATCCCCCTCCCTAACTTGTCTTCAGCCTGGGGTCGAGATCCCCCTCCCTAACCTGTCTTCAGCCTGGGGTCGAGATCCCCCTCACTAACTTGTCTTCAGCCTGGGGTCGAGATCCCCCTCCCTAACCTGTCTTCAGCCTGGGGTCGAGATCCCCCGCCCTAACTTGTCTTCAGCCTGGGGTCGAGATCCCCCGCCCTAACTTGTCTTCAGCCTGGGGTCGAGATCCCCCTCCCTAACCTGTCTTCAGCCTGGGGTCGAGATCCCCCTCCCTAACCTGTCTTCAGCCTGGGGTCGAGATCCCCCGCCCTAACTTGTCTTCAGCCTTGGGTCGAGATTCCCCTCCCTAACTTGTCTTCAGCCTGGGGTCGAGATCCCCCTCCCTAACCTGTCTTCAGCCTGGGTTCGAGATCCCCCTCCCTAACCTGTCTTCAGCCTGGGGTCGAGATCCCCCGCCCTAACTTGTCTTCAGCCTGGGGTCGAGATCCCCCTCCCTAACTTGTCTTCAGCCTGGGGTCGAGATCCCCCTCCCTAACTTGTCTTCAGCCTGGGGTCGAGATCCCCCTCCCTAACTTGTCTTCAGCTTTGGGTCGAGATTCCCCTCCCTCACGTGTCTTCAGCCTTGGGTCGAGATTCTCCTCCCTAACTTGTCTTCAGCCTGGGGTCAAGATCCCCCTCCCTCACTTGTCTTCAGCCTTGGGTCGAGATTCCCCTCCCTAACTTGTCTTCAGCCTTGGTTGAGATCCCCATCCCTCACTTGTCTTCAGCCTGGGGTCATATTGACTTATCTTTTTAAGAAATAATTGCCTGATCTCAGTTATGTTTTATAACAAATTTGTTTTAATTTCACTCAGGTGTTAAAAGGAATAACACTTTAGCACAAACTTTTATTTAATTTCCTGTTTGGAACCCTGCCAGTTTATGCCAAGGGCCAAGTCAACCTTATTTTTCCAAGGGCATAGTAGTCAATCACAACAGGCGAAGAGGCTTGGTTCATCAATTTATTGTCGACCGGTTTCGCCCCTTTATGGGGCTTCTTCAGGACAACATAATAGTAATTTAGGGTACCTAAAGTACATAAAATGAGGGGACTTCTTCAATTATTCAATTATGATGTATGCTCAAGCGGCATAACTACCTCGCGATTGTACATATATTATAGACATATTGACATGGCATTACTAGTATATACAATGTATGTAAATATTAAAAAATTAAATAATTAAAGTCTATGTTATTTGTATAAAATTGTCTATACACGTTCATCCATACATCAATACATCAATGTTGATGACCTCATCTTAACATAACTTTACCTTCAGCAGTTTTTCTCTTTCGATTGTCATCTTCCATTTCAAATGCCTGAAGAAATAAACAGTTGGATTCAGTCTATGTTTATGTTCAAAGCGCCTTGCAGGCTGTTTAGTATACATACTCATTCTTGTTTAAGAATGGTTTCCATAATTGTCTTTTTCACATGTTATTCCTGTAATGAATGTTTTCATATTTGTGAGAATGGATGGTTGTTTTTCATACTACAAATTATTACAATGTTATAAAATTGGTTAAAAAACAGAAAGATGATATCAGGACGACATAAAAACATTGAAAAAATTCAAAGGGCAATCATCACTTCAAAAATTGTAAATTCCCAATGTCATTTTGGAATACCCAATGTCATGCTGTGGTCATAACATGTACCAAGTTTCCGAAAAGATAATGAAAAATTGAGGAAGAAATTAAAAATTCTAAAACAAAGTTTGATAGCTCTGTTGAATCAAATTGCTGTATACGAAAACATGATGTGATAAAACCTACCATGTAGTCAAGCTTAACATTATGAAGTAAAAAAGGGGCCATAACTCTTCCAAATGTAGCCAAATCAAACTGCCATTCATGAAATCACAACTTCTATGCCATGATGATAACACTTACCAAAAATATGAATAAAATCAGTTGAAACCTGAGAGGCAAGATCTCCAAAAAGATCTAAACTACTAAAATTACTAAAACAACAATGAAAAATGAAATATAATTGTCAATTGTAAAGGGCAAAACAAGGGTCTCTAAGATTTGTACAAATTAATTGTCAACTTTGTTTATCTGACTCTCTTTCATGCTTAAAGACAAAAAATATCAAGAACAAAATATCGCAATATTAAGAGGCAAAACCAGAGCAGTATCTACACTAATACGTCTATCAATTTTTCTGAAGATGACACACAGATGTAGACAGAGGGAGAACCTTTAAATATCATCTACAAAGGCATTTCATGTGGATAAACATAACATAGAATAGACAGTCATTAAGGGATAACAACCCTCTGATCATGCCAGGGTCTAAATGTCATACAGTAATTGTATCAACCCTCTGATCATACCAAGGTTTAAATGTCATACAGTAATGGGAAATTGTATCAACCCTCTGATCATACCAGGGTCTAAATGTCATACAGTAATGGGAAATTGTATCAACCCTCTGATCATACCAGGGTCTAAATGTCATACAGTAATGGGAAATTGTATCAACCCTCTGATCATACCAAGGTTTAAATGTCATACAGTAATGGGAAATTGTATCAACCCTCTGATCATACCAAGGTCTAAATGTCATACAGTAATTGTATCAACCCTCTGATCATACCAAGGTCTAAATGTCATACAGTAATTGTATCAACCCTCAGATCATACCAAGGTTTAAATGTCATACAGTAATGGGAAATTGTATCAACCCGCTGATCATACCAAGGTCTAAATGTCATATATTAATGGAAAATTGTATCAACCCTCTGATCATACCAAGGTCTAAATGTCATACAGTAATTGTATCAACCCTCTGATCATACCAAGGTCTAAATGTCATACAGTAATGGGAAATTGTATCAACCCTCTGATCATACCAAGGTCTAAATGTCATACAGTAATGGGAAATTGTATCAACCCTCTGATCATACCAAGGTCTAAATGTCATACAGTAATTGTATCAACCCTCAGATCATACCAAGGTTTAAATGTCATACAGTAATGGGAAATTGTATCAACCCTCTGATCATACCAAGGTCTAAATGTCATACAGTAATTGTATCAACCCTCTGATCATACCAAGGTCTAAATGTCATACAGTAATTGTATCAACCCTCTGATCATACCAAGGTCTAAATGTCATACAGTAATTGTATCAACCCTCTGTCATACAAGGTCCCTACAGTAATTGATCATACCATCATACCAAGGTCTAAATGTCATACAGTAATTGTATCAACCCTCTGATCATACCAAGGTCTAAATGTCATACAGTAATTGTATCAACCCTCTGATCATACCAAGGTCTAAATGTCATACAGTAATTGTATCAACCCTCTGATCATACCAAGGTCTAAATGTCATACAGTAATGGGAAATTATATCAACCCTCTGATCATACCAAGGTCTAAATGTCATACAGTAATTGTATCAACCCTCTGATCATACCAAGGTCTAAATGTCATACAGTAATTGTATACAGTAATTGTATCAACCCTCTGATCATACCAAGGTCTAAATGTCATACAGTAATTGTATCAACCCTCTGATCATACCAAGGTCTAAATGTCATACAGTAATTGTATCAACCCTCTGATCATACCAAGGTCTAAATGTCATAATAATGTCATAAATGTCATACAGTAATTGTATCAACCCTCTGATCATACCAAGGTCTAAATGTCATACAGTAATTGTATCAACCCTCTGATCATACCAAGGTCTAAATGTCATACAGTAATGGGAAATTGTATCAACCCTCTGATCATACCAAGGTCTAAATGTCATACAGTAATTGTATCAACCCTCTGATCATACCAAGGTCTAAATGTCATACAGTAATGGGAAATTGTATCAACCCGCTGATCATACCAAGGTCTAAATGTCATATATTAATGGAAAATTGTATCAACCCTCTGATCATACCAAGGTCTAAATGTCATACAGTAATTGTATCAACCCTCTGATCATACCAAGGTCTAAATGTCATACAGTAATGAGAAATTGTATCAACCCTCTGATCATACCAAGGTCTAAATGTCATACAGTAATGGGATCAATTGTATCAACCCTCTGATCATACCAAGGTCTAAATGTCATACAGTAATTGTATCAACCCTCTGATCATACCAAGGTCTAAATGTCATACAGTAATTGTATCAACCCTCTGATCATACCAAGGTCTAAATGTCATACAGTAATGGGAAATTGTATCAACCCTCTGATCATACCAAGGTCTAAATGTCATACAGTAATTGTATCAACCCTCTGATCATACCAAGGTCTAAATGTCATACAGTAATTGTATCAACCCTCTGATCATACCAAGGTCTAAATGTCATATAATAATGGAAAATTGTATCAACCCTCTGATCATACCAAGGTCTAAATGTCATACAGTAATTGTATCAACCCTCTGATCATACCAAGGTCTAAATGTCATACAGTAATTGTATCAACCCTTTGATCATACCAAGTTCTAAATGTCATACAGTAATTTATCAACCCTCTGATCATACCAAGGTCTAAATGTCATACAGTAATGGGAAATTGTATCAACCCTCTGATCATACCAAGGTCTAAATGTCATACAGTAATGGGAAATTGTATCAACCCTCTGATCATACCAAGGTCTAAATGTCATACAGTAATGGGAAATTGTATCAACCCTCTGATCATACCAAGGTCTAAATGTCATACAGTAATTGTATCAACCCTCTGATCATACCAAGGTCTAAATGTCATACAGTAATTGTATCAACCCTCTGATCATACCAAGGTCTAAATGTCATACAGTAATGGGAAATGTATCAACCCTCTGATCATACCTGATCATACCAAGGTCTAAATGTCATACAGTAATTGTATCAACCCTCTGATCATACCAAGGTCTAAATGTCATACAGTAATGGGAAATTGTATCAACCCTCTGATCATACCAAGGTCTAAATGTCATACAGTAATTGTATCAACCCTCTGATCATACCAAGGTCTAAATGTCATACAGTAATTGTATCAACCCTCTGATCATACCAAGGTCTAAATGTCATACAGTAATTGTATCCCTCTGATCATACCAAGGTCTAAATGTCATACAGTAATGTCATACAGTAATTGTATCAACCCTCTGATCATACCAAGGTCTAAATGTCATAAAGTAATGGAAAAATGTATCAACCCTCTGATCATACCAAGGTCTAAATGTCATATAATAATGGAAAATTGTATCAACCCTCTGATCATACCAAGGTCTAAATGTCATACAGTAATTGTATCAACCCTCTGATCATACCAAGGTCTAAATGTCATAAAGTAATGGAAAAATGTATCAACCCTCTGATCATACCAAGGTCTAAATGTCATACAGTAATTGTATCAACCCTCTGATCATACCAAGGTCTAAATGTCATACAGTAATTGTATCAACCCTCTGATCATACCAAGGTCTAAATGTCATACTGTAATTGTATCAACCCTCTGATCATACCAAGGTCTAAATGTCATACAGTAATTGTATCAACCCTCTGATCATACCAAGGTCTAAATGTCATACAGTAATGGTATCAACCCTCTGATCATACCAAGGTCTAAATGTCATACAGTTGTATCAACCCTCTGATCATACCAAGGTCTAAATGTCATACAGTATTGTATCAACCCTCTGATCATATATACAGTAATTGTATCAACCCTCTGATCATACCAAGGTCTAAATGTCATACAGTGATTGTATCAACCCTCTGATCATACCAAGGTCTAAATGTCATACAGTAATTGTATCAACCCTCTGATCATACCAAGGTCTAAATGTCATACAGTAATTGTATCAACCCTCTGATCATACCAAGGTCTAAATGTCATACAGTAATTGTATCAACCCTCTGATCATACCAAGGTCTAAATGTCATACAGTAATGGGAAATTGTATCAACCCTCTGATCATACCAAGGTCTAAATGTCATACAGTAATGGGAAATTGTATCAACCCTCTGATCATACCAAGGTCTAAATGTCATACAGTAATGGGAAATTGTATCAACCCTCTGATCATACCAAGGTCTAAATGTCATATATGTCATACCAAGGTCTAAATGTCATACAGTGGGAAATTGTATCAACCCTCTGATCATACCAAGGTCTAAATGTCATACAGTAATGGGAAATTGTATCAACCCTCTGATCATAACAGGGTCTAAATATCATACAGTAATTGTATCAACCCTCTGATCATACCAAGGTTTAAATGTCATACAGTAATTGTATCAACCCTCTGATCATACCAAGGTCTAAATGTCATAAAGTAATGGAAAATTGTATCAACCCTCTGATCATACCAAGGTCTAAATGTCTAAATGTCATCATACCAAGGTCTAAATGTAAATGTAATACAGGGAAATTGTATCAACCCTCTGATCATACCAAGGTCTAAATGTCATACAGTAATGGGAAATTGTATCAACCCTCTGATCATACCAAGGTCTAAATGTCATACAGTAATGGGAAATTGTATCAACCCTCTGATCATACCAAGGTCTAAATGTCATACAGTAATTGTATCAACCCTCTGATCATACCAAGGTCTAAATGTCATACAGTAATTGTATCAACCCTCTGATCATACCAAGGTCTAAATGTCATAAAATAATGGAAAATTATATCAACCCTCTGATCATACCAAGGTCTAAATATCATACAGTAATTGTATCAACCCTCTGATCATACCAAGGTCTAAATGTCATACAGTAATTGTATCAACCCTCTGATCATACCAAGGTGTTAAATAAATCTAAATGTCATACAGGAATCCTGATGTTTACTAAAGAAGCTGGTAACCGTTTCAAACATAGTACTGGCTACATCTCTCCTGTGATAACCAAGGTTACCAGTACCCAAGGCAGGAAATGATATTTCTTTACGCTCCCTCTTATCAGCTTGCATCAGACAATTCCACATAAACTGCTTCATATACTGAAATTAACACATAAAAAGATATTTAAAAAACATGAACAGTACTACAGTATATGCCCTAACCACTGATGTATTCAAATCATTAAGATATCTAATTTCAACATGGCATTTCTTATCATATTGTTGTGACTCAATCAAAGACAATATATCAATCTTTGGATAAGGAAAAAGCTGTACACTGGTAATTTGTTGACATTACTCATCAGTATATATACTTATGAGAGGTAATTATCTGAATGTAATAAAAGCTTGTACAATCCTATGTTTACACTTCTGCATAATGAAAAATGAAAAAGCTAATGCATCGATTGAAAAAAAAAAATCTGCATGATATTGATGTAAAGGATACATTTCAAAATTTTCAAGCCACATTTATGATAACATAATACTTTAAATTACCTCCAAATTTCTGTCCTTTTGAAAAGTTGGCAAAGCTCCATGAAAGACGTTTTTACACTGCAGCCTGTACCCATGTGTGACTACCACCTGCCCATACGCAACACTATGGTGATACTGGTTACACTCTCTCTGTATTTCTGGTCCTGCTCCTTTCAGTATAGAACTAGATACAGCACCATATTCCAATCTTAGATCATTGCTTGTAGTGTTTACAATTACCTCGCTCTGAAAGGACCATAATGATATCATGACAGAAACTTACAGGAAGTTCACAGACTTTGATGGTCATCTGAGAAAAAACACCTACCAATGATATATACTGAACAGCAGTAGTGGTTACACATGTCAGAACAATCATTAAGTGATTATAGCAATCATTTATTTTAGAAGTGAAGCTAGGTGACAAAAACAACAACACTTTCTGCATATCAGTTTCTCAACATTTCCACAAAACTCCTAAAGTAACAACACCTGATTACGATGATCTCAAGATGTCAACTGGAACAAGTGTGTAGAACTAGAGTGCGCTATGTTTCTGTGTAAGACTCAAAACCTCTTTATATCCCTGTGTTTCATTACTCCAGGCTTTTCCATTGAAGCCCAAATATATGCATCGTTCGGCAAATTTACGACAATCAGAAAGTTAATGAGAAAATTTCCTTTTGTTTCTTATGCTAATATAACATTAAAATGTACTTCAGCTGAGTGATATCTATTAAAACAGTGTGTAAGAATACTGAAACAAAAAAACTTCCCACCAATCTGCATTCTCAAATTTACATGTGCAGTAGGTCTGTTTGCAGGTAATTATGCAATGTTGCACATGCTGCATGCTTTTTGTGGTGTCATTTTACTGGTAGGATGCAGATGTATAGAAATTGGAAATGTGAAGCCATTCATGGGCACAAAGGGTAGTCTGAATAGGTTGTATACCTGGTACATGTTTATAGTACATACTGACCTCTCACTGATGAAAACTCTGGAGAATGTTTTACTTTGGGTCCGCAACAATTGTAAATATATTGGCATGTTTAAATGAGGAATGAATTTTAACAGCTTTTATATCGATACAAACCCGAGTTTTTTTTTCTAGTAAAACCAATTTTTGTGATGTTCTAACTACCATAACTTTAGCATGTAGATACAGTACCTGCCTCTATGAGGCCTGTCCCACACCTGACAAATTCCCTTGAAAACTGGGGGACTCAGCTGCCACTCCGTCAATACCAGTTGGCCACTCCTGGAGAGTGTGTCCGCCAGAACTTTACGTCTGCCCAGAAGACGCTCAACTACATCTGCTGGTAGATAAGAAGAATGCAGATGGCGAGACCTGGTGCCCGATGTCTCTCCTGATATGCGACAACTGTAGAGTTGTCTGTCACCACTTAAATCCTTCGAAAGGACTGCCGAGCCAACAAAACAGTCCTCATCTCATTCCTGGACAACCTCCTCGCCAGGAGAATCATCATCTAATGACTCAGAAAGATCAGGATCTCTATCCATGGATCCAAGAGAGAGATGAATGACATCATCCTCCTCTGCTGTGCACACACCCTCACACTCTATATCCTCCACCTCACTGGGACCAGAGGTCCCAGGAGGAGGTAAAGAGTCACCTAGAGGGGTCAACTCATGCCATACTCTTGGACTTGGGAGACCAACAGGTCAGTACAAGAGGTGAAAGTCCTAAAAGTTCTAGAGGGAGAGACCTAAGCAAAGGGGTTCCAAGAAGGAAAAGTCATTGGGTAATACCCAAATCCCTGTCAAAAAGACAAAGATGGACCACTTCTGCTAGGTGGACAACTGGACATGTACGGGCCTGAACTGCCGGGGTTACTACTGGAACTGAAGACCATCCACAGGCTGGTTTGAGCAGCCCAAGGATGGTTGCCACCAGGCATATGTATTCCCAGGCCCAGCATCAAAGATGCCCCTGCCAACAGCTCCACCTGGTGCACTTGGATCACTTAAGGGATCAGTGATCAGGGAATCCCTGGACAGGAGGGACCACCCCCTGCTCATGAGAGGACATTGTAGCGATGAGACCTCCCAAGACAGGAAAGGCAAAATTGTCTATCAGCTCAGAGCCAGAGACAGACCTCTTAACAGCTGCCAGAAACTAGAAAATGAATATCTCTAACAGCAAGAAGATTACTGGGAAGGCTGGGACATCTTGATCTGGGACTCTCCATGAGAGCAAACTTTACACAGAGTAGACTAACTGAACAAAGTTTACACGGACTAGACTCACTAAGCAAAGTTTACACAGAGTAGACTCACTGAGCAAAGTTTACACAGAGTAGACTCACTGCAAAGCTAACAAAGGGGAAAAGCATCATGAGGGTCCTGCTCTCCAAAGAAATGGGAATATCCATGGGCAGTAACCTGTCATAATCCCACCCGAGACATACGTACAAACAACAACTAAAAAATTTTTTAAATAAGTATGGAAAGTAAAAAACTTCGAGGCAAGCAATAAGCAACATTTTGCTAAAAAAATTACAGTAAAGTCTGATAAAATGTTACTCCCTAGGAAGAACTGTGAGACTTATATCGGTAATAAAAGCACCTTAAGATGCTTCCATTCATGAGGAGTATTTGATTCTACCACAACTGGATCTTGAGAAGAAGATTTTTTAATATTTAAGTCAATTTGATCCTGTTTGGCCCCATCCATCAGCCCCTGGGGGTCAGTATAGATAAAAAATGGGCATACCATCAGGCTGTCATCCTTCACTCATATTTCGAACCAAGTTTGAAATATTTCCAATGAAAATTAAACAAATTATGCTGAAAATTCAATTTTTATCTATATAAACTATAATAAACTTTACCCCCTCCCTATGGGGAAATGCGAAACCCTGGGGACATGAAATTCAAAATTTTGGTAAAGCACCTTAAAATGCTTCCATTAATGAGGACTATTTGATTCTATCATTTCTGGGTCTTGAGAAGAAGATTTTTTTAAATTTAAGTCAATTTGACTCCATTTGGCCCCACCCATCAGCCCTTGGGGGGGGGTGGGGACTGTATAATACACAATTTTGATTAATCTAAGGCCAGGAAAGGTTACTGCAAAATTTCACTGAAATCAGATCAAGGGTTTTTGAGAAGTAGTCGATAGTGTTAAATTGTTTACAGATGCACGAAACCTGATGCCGGATGAAGGGCATTAGAATAGGTAACTATGAGACTCAGGTAAAGGCTTAATGGCAGACCATATGGCACACCACTAGGAGACATTGAGGAAGCAAACAGCGAAAAATTGGCACAAAAACAATAAAGCAAACCAAATTAACGTCAATAAAGGGCAAATGGGTATAAGTAACACCAAATGTACAAAAAACAAGTCTCAGAAATGAACTGAATGGCTGACATAGCCACAAAATGAGTAAAATGACAGCCATCAGAGGCGCCATAAAGGAAAGAGGAAGGGAGATCACTCTATGTCTCTCTCATAAATGCTCATGAGACTGTCAGGAGGGTGGGATTTGTTCTGGAGCTACAAAGATTGGTTCAGGTACTGTATTTGCATACTAAAGTTATGATATTTATTACTGAAATGAAAATACCATATCGTTTTGAGTATGTTTCTCTGGTAAATTAAATTTCATTAATAATATCAATATAAATGGATTATTTTTTCTCTTCAAGATCTTAGTGAAAGTATATATAAGGGCTTTAATGAAAGGAAGCTGCTATATTGTTTTAACAAAATTTACCCTTGTGACTTAAAATATGGGCTTATTCTATTTTACAAACTTTGTTTGGCTTCACCCTAGTTGTAGCTACCAACCGAATAAGATGAAAGTTTGGCTTTTTGGTTATTGAGAAGAAGTTAAAGCTAGATGGATAATGGATATTATCATTGATGCTGTGGGTGAAGCTTAAAATAAGGCAGCCATCATTGATTTCAAAATGACCATGAAATAAAAATACCTGGTTTGGACCATTTCTTGATCATTACAAGCAAATTCAATCTTTATTTTGTGTTGTTCAAGTAAACCATTACAACATAATAAAATGTTGTAACTGTCTTGTCCACCACACTACCAGGTGAAATAACCAAGAATTTGTCAGCATCTTCTGATTAATATCATCACTAAGTATTAGCTCAATTACACCTGTAAAACTGGAGAGTTCAAAAATCGGTATTCCAAGACGACAAGATAGCAATACTTTTTCTAGATCTGGACATTCTCAGCATCATTCCAGACAAGATTCCAGTAAATCTTAATGCTTGACCTTGAGAAATTTGAAATATGTTTCCTCTCGGGTGCGGGTGATGCTGGCCTCCGAAGTCAGTATGGTGTAGTTTCGCTCACCTTTACTCCAAATATGTTATTATGAAATTTTTATATGTACATGTTTATTAAACTAGGTTAAAAATAAACAGTTTCCTAGGTTAAAAATAAAAGGTTTCCCTATTCTAGAAAAGGGTATGCCAAGATTTTACAGCCAGTTTGATTGTTTGGTATTCTTTTCTTGACATTTAGAGTAAACAGAGCTCGAGGTATGGATCATTTATTTTATACTTTAGCAGGACAAAAAAAGTGTTTTTCAGGAAAACCAAGACTGCACAATTATGAGTGTCAAACTTTTGACCAGGTCAAAAAATTAAAACGTTCATGTTGGCATTCTTTTTTTAAACTCACTATCAAGTTTCCTCTCAATGTCATGGTTCATGAGACTGCATAAGTACTTTTTAGTAAGTGAAATACATGTACATTATGTATCAAGACACTGAAGGCAGATTACTTACTGTCATCTTTGCTAATTCTCCACGGTGTACAACAATAACAGGTTTCTTTTCTGAAAACAAAATACATCTTATCAAAAAGCTGGAAAATAATTATCAACCTTTCCATGATTGTTGTTCTAACTTTTTACGTTTTCTATGTATGAAAATAATTCACTTGTTCAAAATCTTGAATTCATATGAGATAACTTGTAAGATAAGGAAATTAAAACAAAATATAGTGTTGCTTCTACTTAAATGTCTACAAATCCTTTTTAACTTACAATGCTGAAACAGATCAAAACATTGTTTATTTAATTGTGTAGAAATAGAACTGCTGTTCTGCTGTATTATTAAAACAAAAGGCCCAATGGGCATGCAGCACTCAACTGGTATATACCAGTCAAATATCATTCCTCTAGGCTTTTTAGTTTATGAGAAGAAGACTTTTAAATGTTTTAACAAATCCGACCCCTGTGACCTTAAACATTAAAGGAAAATACCAGACAAATATCATGCCTCTAGGCCTTAAATTTTATGAGTAGAGGTACCAAAATTTGACCCCTGTGCCTTTGAATATATACTAAACAAAAAAAGAAAAGTTACACTACTTTATTCTGTGATTAATTAATTAACCCCTTCATAAATCCTTACCAATTATGTACAAATAAAGTAATTGATCAATTCTGATAAAACTGCAGTCATGATTCATTATAAAACTTTGCGTTCAGTTGATTTTAATCAACTGTAAAGGACGTTGGGGTCAATATCAAAGGTAACACCATTAGTAACCAGTATGGCCACCATTTGCGAAGTAAACAGCATTGCAGCGACGTCGCATGGAACTCGTAAACCGGCGGATAATTCAAGGAGAGATGTTGTTCCATTCAGCGATCAAGGCTTGGGCCAGTTCCTGCAAGTTTGACGGCTGATTTTGACGTTCTCTCACGCGTCGCCTAAGAACGTCCCAGACATGCTCAATCGGTGACAAATCAGGTGATTTAGATGGCCAATCTCACACCTGTATGTTATTCTGCTGCAAGAAAGTTCTGCTGACACGACTGGTGTGCGCTGTTGCATTATCCTGTTGAAAAATGGCGCCAACGCCATGGCTTATTAAGAATGGCGGAACCACTGGTCTTAAAATTTCTTCCCAATATTGATTGCCGGTTAAATTGCCATTTAACACAATAAGCCTGGTACGAGTCCTCCCACAAATGCCATCCCAAACCATTACACTTCTGCCGCCAAAGCTGTCCCATTCTGCAACGCAGCAGTTCACAAAACGCTCCCCTTGTCGCCTCCACACTCTGCGCCTTTCGTCACCGTGTTGCAGACAAAACCTGGACTCATCTGAAAACAGAACATTGTTCCATTGTCGTAAGGCCCAATGATGGTGAACATGGGTCCAGTTACGCCGATTACTACGGTGACGTTACAACAAATTGGGTCCAGTGTAGGGACGCCGCGCTTTCAATTGGTAGGCCCTCAACCTGTTGCGGACTGTTTGGGGAGACACACGATGCCCAAACAATGTCCTTGTAGTCTCTACTGCGGTTACGAATCGATTGCGCAAGTGTATCATTCGTATACGACGGTCATCCCTGGCAATCGTTTTACGGGGTCGGCCGCTTCAGGGACGATCGGATGTTGACCCAGTTTGGTTTAAGCGAATTACCAACTGGCAAATTGTCTTAACGCTGCAACCAAAATGCCAAGCAACTCGACGGTGAGACTCCCCAGCCTGGATCATGCCTACAGCTCTTTCTCTCTGTACTTGTGACAGCCGGGCATAATGATAAAGTTGATAGATAGCAAGATTCGGTGATTTCTAAGTCCTAACGATCTAAGGAACAGTTGTCAGTTTGAATGTTTATGAAATTCAAGCGAAGATACAAATTAGTCGCAGAAAACCTAGTGCCGCTCTTTCGCTAATACAGACTTTCACGCTTGAATGATTTTGGTAACCCCCTTGGATTTTGTAATGTAAAACATTACCATTTTCTAATATTGCACAAACGTCATTTTGTTTTCACTCATTTACAGGTATTCGCCAAGGAAACATGATAATCTTTCTTTTTTTGTTGAGTATATGTCAAGGTCATTTCTTTTCACAAACTTTGTTGGGCTTCATTTAGCCCTTTTAGTTCCTGAAAAGAAGTTGTTTAAAAGTTTTTACAAATTTGACCTGTGACCTTGAATATAAGTCAAGGTAATTTCTACTTCTGGGCTTCATTCAGGGAATATACTAGTCAAATATCATGCCTCTAGGCCTTTCAGTTCATGATGAAGAAATTGTTTAAATTGGTTAACAAATTTGATCCCTATGACCTTTAATATAAGTCAAGGTAATTTCTTTTTGCATCCTGGTATCATACCAGCCAAATATCAAAACATTTCATCCATTGGTTATTGAGAAGGAGTTATTTAAAGGAAAAAGTTGACACTGACGACGGATGACGGACGGATGATGGACACTGTGTCACAGCATAAGCTCACTTGGCTAGGTAAGCTAAAAACAATCACTTCATGTATGTTATACTAAGAACTTATGGTTACAAACAGTATTTTGAAAATAAAAACACACACATCTATTGAACTTTGAATCTTCACTCTTTTACAAACTAAACAGTTCCTGGTTTAATGTTATTGCAAACAAATAAATTATCAAATACCATTATAGAGTACCACACTACCTACCAATTATGGAGCAAATTTAAGGGCTATCAAATCTTTGCATTTTAAGTGTAATATTGCAATTACTTGACTTATTTGATTTAAAAATTCAAACTTTAAAAGCGATTTTGTTACAAGAAAAAATTATAGATTAACCACGACAATATGTAGTATATCTGTGTCAGAGAAAAGAAGTAACAAGTAACCTAATGGTTGATTAACAATTTCCAAACACATTTTGCATTCATTGTTTTTAACTTCTATCCATATAATACATGTACAATAATGTAAATACTATGGGTTACAGATCTCTGTATCAGACCTGTCTGTGTGTTATACATACCTCTGACATCAGTCACTATGGGTTACAGATCTCTGTATCAGACCTGTCTGTGTGTTATACATACCTCTGACATCAGTTACTATGGGTTACAGATCTCTGTATCAGACCTGTCTGTGTGTTATACATACCTCTGACATCAGTCACTATGGGTTACAGATCTCTGTATCAGACCTGTCTGTGTGTTATACATACCTCTGACATCAGTTACTATGGGTTACAGATCTCTGTATCAGACCTGTCTGTGTGTTATACATACCTCTGACATCAGTCACTATGGGTTACAGATCTCTGTATCAGACCTGTCTGTGTGTTATACATACCTCTGACATCAGTCACTATGGGTTACAGATCTCTGTATCAGACCTGTCTGTGTGTTATACATACCTCTGACATCAGTCACTATGGGTTACAGATCTCTGTATCAGACCTGTCTGTGTGTTATACATACCTCTGACATCAGTCACTATGGGTTACAGATCTCTGTATCAGACCTGTCTGTGTGTTATACATACCTCTGACATCAGTCACTATGGGTTACAGATCTCTGTATCAGACCTGTCTGTGTGTTATACATACCTCTGACATCAGTCACTATGGGTTACAGATCTCTGTATCAGACCTGTCTGTGTGTTATACATACCTCTGACATCAGTCACTATGGGTTACAGATCTCTGTATCAGACCTGTCTGTGTGTTATACATACCTCTGACATCAGAATTTACCATCTCCCATCCTTGTTCTATTTTGTCTTGTTGATCTGTTACAGAGACTGGTGTAGCATCTTTAAATCTGCCATCAAATACTTCCTTACACCCCAAAAACATCTCTTGTTTCTTCGTTAAATAGGAACAAGAACAGCCCACAGCATTCTCAGACATCAGAACAAACAGAGTGCTTTTGACTAATGTTGTGTATGCTTTCTTATGTACCCATCCAATTGGTTCACAGTCATCCAAAAGAATAGTGAGTGATGTGTTCTTCCTCTCTGCAGCTGATTCAATGATACGTTTAAAGTGTGTACGTATTATATCTTTTTCTTTGCTTTTTCCATCTCTCCACTCAGGTAGGTACAGAGTAACAAAAAGCTCCTCACCCTCTCCGCAATAAAAATTGATGGCGCTTGAATCTATAATCAAATATTACAAAGACTAAAAATTGAATAAAATTGTTGTAAAATGTTTATTAGTTAAAATTATTGCCTTGAGGACAACTAAAACCTGATATTAACTGGTTCTCAAACTTGTGTATTACATTAACTGTGAAAATATCATCTGGTTAAAAAAAACCCACTTATTATATGTAATGCTACATTTTATGACCTTACCATTATTTAAAAACCTATCGCATAAAGCTGAGTAAGCACCATGAACCACTGAATATCACTGATTCTTCATGATGTCTTATTTTCTTTGGAATTTCCTATCATTATAAATGAAGGATTCCTTTATACATGTACAAGCTATACATTATTTGCATAAAGCTACCTGAACTTTTTATTGTACCTTTTCTTTCCAGTTTCACAAAGACATTTGATGAAGACTTCTCACCATCACCATAGTACAGAGCTACATACAGTCCAGGATCTGCTAATTTCCACTGGTGTCCAGCGAGACTGGAGGATCCCTTGGTGGTCAGAGTAAGACCCAGTCTGCCAGACATCAATGCTTTCTCTTCTGACACTTCTACTTCCGGTTCCAACATGGTCACTAGACATCTTGTATCCTTACTAACTTTGGTCATTATGTCCTGCCCTGTCTGTGTCTTGAAGAAATCTTTGCTGATCTTGTCCTTGAGCAAAAGATTTCTTGATGTCACTGTCTCTGAAATTTTCTTCAAGGTACAACCAGCCTTCTCAAGTGTCCCACGTGGTCCTTTAACTGTCCATCCCTGCTTTCCTTTGTTTATGACAGGACAAATCTCCACACCATACTTCTGTTCTACTCCCTGTATATTTTCGTGTAGTAATTTCCCACAGACATCCAAAGTCAGGTCTCCAATAGGTGTATATAACACGGTCTTTGTTCCTTCCTGAAAAAAATTTTCCTTCATGCTGTTAACAGTTTGTAACACTTTATTTTCAATGTCTGCTGTACATGTGAACACAACATGACTCTTCTCTGATAGTACAACAACTTTATCATTGTGTTTCTTCATTAAATCAGCCATTTCCTTTTGTACATCTGGTGAGTCTAAGAACAACCTCCATTTAGTATCTATCTCAAATGTTCTGTGTACGATGGCCGATTCTATCTGACGGAGAACAGTGTTTCTGTCAGCTGCAGTTGTGTACACTTTGATAGTGTCTACACTCTGTTCCAGATAATAGGCAAGCTGCTGACTTTTGAGAGTTCCCTCTACAAAGTCCAGTACACAACTGACCTTTAACATCCTCAATATCTCTGGTCTCGAAGCCCTGCTGAAGAAGTCCATGCTTTCTCTCTCTATTTCTTCCACCTGATTCTTAATCTCTGCTTTAACTCTTCCTACAGTACCTTCATCTCCAGTGATATGAATATAATTATCTTGCCCTAAAGTGATCTTCAGATTTCTAAATTTCTGACGAAAATCCTCCAGTATTGGGATGGACGTCAACATGTTCATTTGAAGTCTATTCATCTTCAACTTTTCAGTGACGACGGGACACCCACCATTACTGTCAGACAGATTAGGTCTGTTTGGCAAGTATTGGATGTCTGTCCTGGTCATATGCTGTGCTCTAGCAACTTGCTCGTCACAGGATGCTCCAGTACGATGTGTTTTCTGATTTTGTACTGTTTGATGTCTGTTAATATTTTGGTCCACTGGTTCATCTGTTGTAACCTGTGATGAATTGTTGGCATTCTCTCCAGACCTTTTAGCAAACTGGTTGTTATCTAAAATTTACATAAAGCTTAGTTTAATTTAAGAATTTTTCCTTCAGATTTTGATCAAAAAATATTATCCTGTATTTATTTACATCCAATCTCATTAATGAAGGACACAGCAGTAGCTCATACAGAAATATCCAAAACCATCAGTAAATATCCTATCACAAACCATCATTTATTATCCTATCACAAACCATCACTTGATATCCCATCCCAAACCATCATTTATTATCCTATCCCAAACCATCAGTTAATATCCCATCCCAAACCATCAGTTAATATCCCATCCCAAACCATCAGTTAATATCCTATCCCAAACCATCAGTTAATATCCTATCCCAAACCATGATGATGATCTCTATAGATACACTATCTGTAATTAATCTGACTTCACCACTTGTGTTTGGTGTGGTATCTCTATCTGTAATTAATCTGACTTCACCACTTGTGTTTGGTGTGGTATCTCTATCTATAATTAATCTTACTTCACCACTTGTGTTTGGCGTGGTATCTCTTTAGATACCGTATCTGTAATTAATCTGACTTCACCACTTGTGTTTGGTGTGGTATCTCTATACACTATCTGTTATTAATCTGACTTCACCACTTGTGTTTGGTGTGGTATCTCTATCTGTAATTAATCTGACTTCACCACTTGTGTTTGGTGTGGTATCTCTATACACTATCTGTAATTAATCTGACTTCACCACTTGTGTTTGGTGTGGTATCTCTATCTGTAATTAATCTGACTTCACCACTTGTGTTTGGTGTGGTATCTCTATACACTATCTGTAATTAATCTGACTTCACCACTTGTGTTTGGTGTGGTATCTCTATCTGTAATTAATCTGACTTCACCACTTGTGTTTGGTGTGGTATCTCTATACACTATCTGTAATTAATCTGACTTCACCACTTGTGTTTGGTGTGGTATCTCTATTTGTAATTAATCTGACTTCACCACTTGTGTTTGGTGTGGTATCTCTATTAGATTCACCACTTGTGTTTTGTGTGGTATCTCTATCTGTAATTAATCTGACTTCACCACTTGTGTTTGGTGTGGTATCTCTATAGATACAGTATCTGTAATTAATCTGACTTCACCACTTGTGTTTGGTGTGGTATCTCTATAGATACAGTATCTGTAATTAATCTGACTTCACCACTTGTGTTTGGTGTGGTATCTCTATCTGTAATTAATCTGACTTCACCACTTGTGTTTGGTGTGGTATCTCTTTAGATACGGTATCTGTAATTAATCTGACTTCACCACTTGTGTTTGGTGTGGTATCTCTTCAGATACAGTATCTGTAATTAATCTGACTTCACCACTTGTGTTTGGTGTGGTATATCTATACACTATCTGTAATTAATCTGACTTCACCACTTGTGTTTTGTGTGGTATCTCTATCTGTAATTAATCTGACTTCACCACTTGTGTTTGGTGTGGTATCTCTATACACTATCTGTAATTAATCTGACTTCACCACTTGTGTTTGGTGTGGTATCTCTATTTGTAATTAATCTGACTTCACCACTTGTGTTTGGTGTGGTATCTCTATACACTATCTGTAATTAATCTGACTTCACCACTTGTGTTTGGTGTGGTATCTCTATCTGTAATTAATCTGACTTCACCACTTGTGTTTGGTGTGGTATCTCTATCTGTAATTAATCTGACTTCACCACTTGTGTTTGGTGTGGTATCTCTTTAGATACGGTATCTGTAATTAATCTGACTTCACCACTTGTGTTTGGTGTGGTATCTCTTTAGATACACTATCTGTAATTAATCTGACTTCACCACTTGTGTTTGGTGTGGTATCTCTTTAGATACACTATCTGTAATTAATCTGACTTCACCACTTGTGTTTGGTGTGGTATCTCTATCTGCAACTAATCTGACCTCACTACTTGTAGCTTGTTGTAAAATCTCTACAGACTCAACAACACAACTATTCTGTTATTACCATTTTGTGTTGTAGTCCATACCTTGGATTTGAGTTGTTTTTTGAAATCTCATTTCCTCTTTAATCTGGTCAGACATTCCAAGTGTGAAATCATCTGAAGGAGATTTCTTCTGTCTACAAGATTGATGTAGATTTACTGATGTTGTCTGGTTGGCTTCTGACTGATCTTCTATTTCATTGTTTCTCTTCCTTGCATGGTTGTCACCATCCCCCAGGTTGTCAGCTGTTTGTGTTTTTGACTTATCCTTCTCAGAGTTGTCTCCCTTCCTTGCAAGGCGGTCACCATCCCCCAAGTTGCCAGCTGTTTGTGTTTTTGACTTATCCTTCTCAGAGTTGTCTCCCTTCCTTGCAAGGCGGTCACCATCCCCCAAGTTGCCAGCTGTTTGTGTTTTTGACTTATCCTTCTCAGAGTTGTCTCCCTTCCTTGCATGGTTGTCACCATCCCCCAAGTTGCCAGCTGTTTGTGTTTTTGACTTATCCTTCTCAGAGTTGTCTCCCTTCCTTGCAAGGCGGTCACCATCCCCCAAGTTGCCAGCTGTTTGTGTTTTTGACTTATCCTTCTCAGAGTTGTCTCCCTTCCTTGCAAGGCGGTCACCATCCCCCAAGTTGCCAGCTGTTTGTGTTTTTGACTTATCCTTCTCAGAGTTGTCTCCCTTCCCTTCATGGTCATTACCAATAGCAGGGTAACAACCAGGAGCTTGTGAACCTAAAGACATTTTTGTTCTATTCTGAAATAAACACAGAGAAACATATTTTATAACCTACTCAATGAAATTTCTGTTTCACACAAATAATGTAGATTCCAAGAAGACTAAATAATTGAGTGCATGTAAGTCATTCATTTATTTGTCTGATAAGCCTTATTTGTTATGAAATATTCAAAATGTTTGAGCAACAATGCAATATCTAACATCTAACAATATACAAAATGTAACATGTCATGTAATTGTAGCTGCTCTTCAAAACATCTTGGCATGTGATGCTTTCCACATAAAAGACCAACTTAGCAGACAAAAAATTGTATGCACTTGAAATGATTTTTTTATGAAATAGATATCAAAGCAAATAACAGATTTTAAATTCATGAATGCTGACTTGATGAACCTCCTTCCCTGATTTTTAGGACTAGAAAACAAATCTTTCACCAATTTTATTGGTGAAAATTGCAAAAGTTAAATTGTTCCTCACTTTTTAATCATGGAAAATATTCTCCAAAATCTGTCTGTCCAAGTATTTATTAAAAGTGAAAAATAAGAAATAACACAATTCATTTTTAAAATGATGTTGCGAAAAGAAAGAATTTTTATTATCCAAGAAAAATTCAAGAATGACAAAATAATCAAATCCTATAACACACATTGTGGCACTTGTATCTGAGGAAGTTATTAATTATTGATTATTGATTTTTTGCTTTTAAAATAATAACCAAATCCAACCTATCAAAAGATCATCATCAGAAAAAAAGTTTAATACTGTATTTTTTTTACCTCTCAGAGGAGTACATCCTTGCACATGGTAAATTTATAGAATCTCTATAATACAACATAAAATGTATAATGGATCCAGGCATTGTTTTGTATCTATGTCCAACTCAATAAATACACAAAAAATTAATTAAGGAGGTCATATAATTGAAGCTGGCAATATAGTTAAATTTTCTTTTTCAAGCATTTTCAATATCTGCCAAACCTAAAATTATTTCAAAGTCTTTAATCAAATAATACTTGGTTATTTCCTGACTATAAGAAGGGTCAGTCTGTTACATATATATCAACAATTCTGTGTTCAAAAGTGAATCTGCATATATCAAATCCATAATCTTATAGTTTAAGCACCTCTTGTTCTGGTTTCTATATGATGTGAATTAAATATACCATAATTTTGTAAATGGTTGTGATATCTC